CGTGAGATCGAGGACACGTGTATATGTGTGGTGTTTGGGGGAGGGGGGCATTATTTAATTTAAAAAGGTTCCAATTATGATCAAAACATTTTTTAAAATCTAATTCACACCATTAATTAGATTCTGTTTTTCAAGCACATGGGCGTCAGAGCCAAGGGGGGGGGGGGGGCTAGGGGGCTTTAAACCCCCCTTTTTTTTGCAAAGATAGACATTTTCTATGTATTGAAAATTGGGGTTTACCTTTTTTGTTGGTTTAGCCCCCCCCCCCACACTTTCAATTTCCTTCCGATGCCTATGAAGTATGTAAGCCCAATATGTACGGGTGTGTCTTTAGAGGCAAATACATTAGTGCGGGTATTACTGTCTCATGACAGCATCTAGTAATTAATTTGTTGATAAAATACTTTTTTAAAAAACAAATAATCATTTTTCAGGCTATTTCAGCCCATTCCCAGGATAAAAACAATGACCACAGTAATTATCAGTAAATCTCAGCATCGACAGCACATCAACAGTATTTATCAGTATTTATCAGACTCAACAGTAAAGACGACAGTAATTATCAGTATTTATCAGAAACAACTAAAACTAGTGCTAATTGTAACGGGGACCGTTACAGATGTTCCCCAAACGCTCCCAAACTCCCTTTTGGTGCCATATTCCCTGTAAGCTTCATTAAATATGACTAACTCTATGCATTTGAGATTTTAACAACGTTTACTAATAAGTGTACCAAGTTCATTCAAATTTTAGCATTGCACGCGTGCGCATGTGAATGCATGTGCGTAATGACCATATCTTCTTGTCTACACAATCTATATATTTTAATAAACTAAATATTTAAGTATTTAATCCAAAAGTATTAAAAAATACGTTCATTCAAGTGTATTTTTGAATTTACCCATTTCACGTGCACGCACGTGCATACATGAGCATGGTGACCATACCTTCTTGTAGAAGTCCATAACATATATCTATGTTCTCAATCCCAACCCGTTTGGTTGAAAACCAAAGGAGTTATAGTTGTTTAAAGTTTCATCCAATCAGATTGCAGCGCACATACACGCACGTGTATGCATGTGCATGGTGACCATACCTTCTTGTAGAAGTCTATTATATCTATCTATGTTCCAAATCCCATCCTGTTTGGTTGAAAAGCAAGGGAGTTATAGCTATTTAAAGTTTAAGCCAATCAGATTGCAGCGCACGTGCACGCATGTGTTTTCATGATAATTGCTATATATCATGTCGTAGGATATCCCATTGCATGGCTATGTTCAAAATTTCAAAGAATTTAGTTTACAAACAAGAAAGATATTGATATATTAGTTTCAGCCAATCAAAGCGAAGCGCACGTGCATGCACGTGAGATCTTGCTATTTTGACCATGTCATATTATCTATGCTACTAATATATCATCACATTATGAATTTCAAAGCATTTCATTCAAAAATAGAAAAGTTACGGCTAATCTATTATATTGGTCATTTCACGCGTTGCACGTGCACGCTCTTGCAAGCACGTGCGCGCAAAATGACCTTTGTTCCGCAAATCTACATAACATGCCTACTGACCCTAGAAAGGTTTTACCTAAGTCGGATGTGTAGTTTACAAGATCACTCCCGGACAAAAAAGTACCCAGGAAGAAGAAGAAAAATAATAATAATAAGAAACAGAGTAAAAACAATATGTTCCCCAACTTCGTTTGGGGAACATAATTATCAGCAACAACAGTAATAATAACAGTAAATATCAGTAATGATCAGCAAGAACAGCATCGTATCAGTAATTATCAAACATTATCAGTAAAATTTGGGATTCTCAGCACTTTTTTTCGTCGAGTAGTGAATTGAGAAGAAGATTTGATAAGTTTTTTCCTATATATTTCTATGTAAAACTTTGATTCCCTATTGTGGCCCCGCCCAACCCCCGGGGTCATGATTTGAACAATTTAGAATCTACATTACCATAGGATGCTTCCACACAAGTTTCAGCTTTTCTGGCCCAGTGCTTCTTGAGCAAAGATTTTTTAATGCCCCACCCTATTTTCGTCTTTTCTTGATCATCTCCCCTTATGAAGGGGCTTGGACCTTGATTTTAACAATTTAAACTCCCCTTTACACAAGGATGCTTTGTACCAAGTTTGGTTAAAATTAGCCCAGTGGTTCAAGAGAAGTCGAAAATGTGAAAAGTTTACAGACGGACGGACGGACGACGGACAAATTTTGATCAAAAAGCTCACCTGAGCCTTCGGCTCAGGTGAGCTAAAAACGAAACAAAATCTATCCAAACTAAAGGGGTTGGGCGAGGGTCGGGCGACCCTTCTCCACTCCTCAGAATATCTCATGATATCTATAATTGTATTTGTTAATTAATCGTAAAATTTTAGGAATACTCAATTAGTCTTAAATATAGGGAGAGAAAAAAATGAGAATCATCAGCACTTATTATGCACATGCACATTTTTCAATGGATGGTACCGGTTCTGTCTCTGGTCGATCATCAAATTCTTTTTTCAGACTAGCAAGCTACATATCTGAATATTTTATTTCCTCAAGAAACAAACGAACAATCAAAATATATTTCTTATTGGCTGCAGCTGGAAAACAACTCTAAAAACGAAAATCGAAGTCGAAAATAAAAACGGAATACTTAACAAAAGCATATTATTATATAGTATTTATTTGAAATTTTCTTTCTTGTTTCAACAGAGTTGATTATTTTCATTTTGAAGGACTGGAAGAAATGTTTAGCCATGCTTGGAAACAGAAGTCAGGACGGGTTACGGTACAAGATGGCGGAACTTAATCCCACTGACGTCAGCCGGAAGAACGCTCTGGATGCTAAAGTAACAATAGAACCGTACACGGCAGAACAGCTCAGATACATCAGTCCCGGAGCAGCGGCCTTTTATCTCTGGGTATGAAATAATCAGCACTTCTTTTGAAAGATATAAACTGCTAAATTTAATGATAGAATATTTTAACTGGAAAAATTGATATAATGCCTCATGTACGATGTGGCCCCAATACAGGCTCGTTTTTTAGACAACTTGGGAAATAGGACTAGTTGTTATGTACTGTTTTATTCATATTTGTTCTACAGAGTGATCAAATAATCAAAGATGTGGAAGCCAATAGTGGAGTTCTGAAGAAAAAGCCTCCAAAACCTAAAACCCCACCACCACCCCCTCCCCGCGAACCAACACCCCCGCCGCAACCTAAGAAAAAGAAGGAACCATCAACCAAATTTGTAACTCTGGACAAACTAATGAAAGAAAAATTCCCAATGGATCCAGATCCCAACGCTAAACCGGAAAAGTCCACTCCCACACCGGCGCCAGAACCACCGAGCAATGATGATACATCGAGTTCAAACAGCTCTTACGTCACACGACATCAACAACGAACGAATTATTATGGAAAGAAAAACAGGGCATCAAGGGCAGGTAACTTTCAAAGTGACAGTCCAATTTCTAAAACTCCTGTGAATTCTATGTCGCCTGATCCGAATCAAAAGAATCCAAAGAAATCGGAGTCACCAGATCGAAGGCGACCAAGAAATAAACCGGAAAAGGAACCGAACAGTTTGCGACCACCAGATGATCCGGTCGAAAAACCGGAAAAAACAAATAAACCAAAAGAAAATAAAAATGTGCCAAATAAAAGTATACCATCGAAAAACGCACCAAGTAACGAAAATCCGATCAAAAATCCACGTGATGCTAGTCCCGGAAAAGCTGGGGGACCAAACAGGGACAATAAACGAAACGAGTCTCCAACAAGGAGACCCGACAAAGGGGAATTAAAACGAATAGACAGCCGTGGTTATTACAAGAATTTCAAAGCACAGCAAATTCTCAATCAGAGCATGGAACCGGATATACTACAGATAAACCACGACACGGATCCGGTCGAAGATCCGTTAGAGCCTAATGATCCCAAGGGATATAACTCTATTTATCAGAAGAAGAAACACTTTAATGAATTTAAATCTCTACCCAAACAAGCAGTGTGATTATCTTGTACTCACGTTTCGTAACATGTACAGATATACAAAGGGAAACAACTCCTGTGATATCATGTTTTAGTATGAATCACTATGCCACTTGATTTTGTGAAATAATAAAATGTAAACCAAAGATGTTTTTGTGTACATGTTTATGTATACTTGTTATCATAAAACCTAGGACATCCGAGTTTATAAATATTTATCAAGATATTGTATGTAAATAAATATACATCAATAAAATAATCAAAAAAGTAAGGGACTCTTCATAAATGCCTCATCATTTATAAATGAATGCTATCTATATGCACAAAAATATTACTAAGGACGATATCCCGTTAATGAAAAAGAAACGATTATATTCTTAAGTTAGCGAAATGAATTAAAGATTCTTATTTAAAAAATGTACAATGCAGCGTATAATATAGATTTCAGTTGCTCCTCATTAGCTACATATGTACATGTAGGTATAATTGAAGTGTTCTTTGAACATCTACATGTATCATGAATATTTTAAAAAAAATCAATAGAAATGATATAGACTTGTACAACATTGAATAATTAAAAGCGAATTCATTCTGTGAACTTATTTCCTTACATGAATAATTTAATCTATTTCTGTGACCTTTAAGGCTAGATTAGGGGTAAATATATTTTACCGACTAACACTTAACACATAACTCACACTAAATGATAACTATTTAACTACTAACCTGGCATGGTCTTTCGATGCCATCTATTGTTCAATGATTATCTTAAGACTGTATTAGCCCATTTCTTTCTTTGGCGATTAATCCTTCTCTAAAACTTAAACCTAATAAGCAATATTTACATTGAACTCCAAAAGGAAAAAAAAGACTTAAATTGTCTAACTCTTTGTATTAGTTTAAAATTTAAAAAATTGACAGAATACAACAACGGCTTTAACATAGCAAGTTTAGCTTGACTGATAAAGGGCTATGGAAGAAATGTAAATCTATTATGGATGTTTTCATAGTGTGTAATAATTATAAATATTGACCTTATCTCCACCTGCCGTGTTGCCTAACAGCGGAGGTGCGGGGACCTTCTTGAATTTCACTATTTTAAGGACAAGGTGTATCAGGACATAGGTTAAGGATGGGGTCCGGGGCCTCACAAATCGATGATGAGGATGATTATATCGATGAAGAATTAGACAAACCGAAAAAACCCGAACCTAAAAAAGTAAGTTATTCATCTTATAGCGCATTTTATGCTTAGAAAAAAGTATTTAAATTTTTTTCAATTTTTTGCGCGTTCAATTACCTGATGAAAACATAAAGTTAATGAAGGTCAGAGGACACATTCCCCAAATATATGTTTTGTATTTCTTGGTATTATATGAAAAAATATTTATATTTGTCATTCTCTTCTGATTTCTATATTGTTTTTAAAATGTTTTTAAATATAAGTACACCAAAATTGGTGATGTAGAACATTCAGAGGATTACTTATAGGGATATAAGAAATATGACCCTGTGGTATCTTGTCCAAATGCCTGGTAAAGATATCCTAATTTTTTGTGAGGAATCTTGTTTAAGTACCTATTCTTCAATGACAAATTCTTAGGAAAAATTAAATATATTTGAGGAACGTGTCGTCTGACCTTAAACCGGGTAAATAAAATAAATATACTGCAACGGGCAAAACACCTCGTACAAAAATATTCAGTAAAATAAAATTTGTTTTTTTTAGATTAAAAGTCACGAATGATTATACAACATCCTTAATAAACGAGAACTAAAGAATTATTTGCTAATTGTTTGTAAACTTTTTATTGGTTAGAAAACACAGAGAAAGTCACGGAAAGGTAACCAAAATCCCGCCACTGGCGTCCCAAAGACATCTAAAGATGAACTACTGGCCGATGTAGACTTCAAGTATATCGATAACCATGCCTTTAAGGTAAGACTTCACCCCAGCTCACGTGTAGAATGCCATAAGATGGGTCATCCTCGCAAGATATATCCCTTTTGAAACTAGTTCAGGTTAGCATGTTGAAATCCTTACAATTTCAGAGGTCTTGGGACAAAATGCGACCTTTGACCCTTTTACAAATTTCATTTGATATTTTGCGGCTTTGCTTCTCTTACAAAGAAGCCAGATAGGGATTTTTATCAGTTGATATCAAATGTAAACAGTCAGTTAGCACCTTGATGCACAAGTTGTAAATGAAAGGGTTAAAAAGAAAGAAAATTGATTTGTTTGATCGATATCCCCGACAGAAGTAGCTGCAGCCAGTCCATAGAATACCTAGAATCTAATGGTTTACTCAGGGACCTAACGCATCGAGGACTTTCCGTAAAGTAAAAAAAAAATTTAACATGTAATTTAGATTAAGACAGTACATGTAAACACCCCGGCCGACCCTAAATCAGTCAGAAATAAAATATTTCCATGATATATTTAATTTATGATTTACTTACGTAAAATCACAAGACAAATTCCATGGCAATAAATCACCTCACTACAGCTTTCTTTCATGTATAAACAAGAGTCCCTTTGTGTAAATAACTTCCATTAGGTTTCCTTTTTGTTTAACATCTCTCGAAGAATTTCTCACTCGTGTTAGTTCGTGATGAATTGAACTTAACCTATTTTGCAAAGAATCTTATATTTGGACCATACATATTATAAATAGGCTCCCCATTACCTGTTGTACACCTCCTTTGTGGAACTGGCTGACTATCTAACAGATGAGGGCGCCTGGCAGGATGACCTTGTCAAGGTCAGGTCCGTGTTCCGCTGGATTACGTCATACAACCTCAAGAAAATGCAGATTGGTCCAAATCCGCCCGCGAATACTGTCTTAGAATATCTCAGCAAGATCAACTGTAACATCGGCAACCACGCCAACTTATTCTACATTCTGTGTCAGTAAGTGAAAACATAAAACAAATCTTTACATTTTCAAATCTCAAAGAAAAAAGTAATCAAAATAGATTTTTAAAAAGGTTTTAATGTTATAGATAAAACTATCAACTTCAAATACAAGTATTTGAACAAAGTTTTTTTTTAATTAAAAGAATGGTGGACGTGCCTTGTGTTATTGTTGATGGTGTTACCAAAAGTTCTGCATACAAACTCGGAGAACCACTAAACAAGAAAGCCATCAAGGCTCAGTGGAATGCCGTGTACGTCAGAGATGAATGGCGCCTCATCGATGTGTACTGGGCAACCACGTGTGTGGAAATCAACACCGGGGACACTCCGGGGGAAGTCCAAATCAGGAAATACGCCAAGACGAAGGTGGACAAGAAGACCAAGCTGGACCACAGAGAGGAGGTGGACGAGTGTTACTTTTTCACCGAGCCCTATCACCTGATATGGACCCATCTTCCGGACGACGAAAAATGGCAGCTTCTGCCTCATCCAATTAAAGAGTCGGAATTTGAGAAACTTGTGTACGTACGAGAGCGAATGCATGAACTTGAAGTGGACTTTCCCGCCAAAAAGAATAGGCGAGTGAACGTGTTTCTCAAACAAGGTATCGGACACATAGAATTAGACCTTCCTCCAAAGCGGAGTAAGTTCTTGCGGTTTAAATTCGCGTTTTATCGATCAAAAGGTTCAATGGATGATGACAAGGATATTGATGTGATGCTGAATAACTGTGTCAAAATGAATCAGACAGGGACTAACTTGTTCTTTGACTTTGATGTGCCGGTTTGTGGAACCTTTAACTTTGAAATCTATGGAAAAGATGCTAATCACAAGGATCTGCAAGAATTCGACCTTATGTGCACATACTGCATCCGAGCACCTGTTCCGGAAAGGAAACCGCTTCCGCTTCCGGATAATCCAGAAATAGGTTGGGGTCCAAATATGAAGACTCTTAAAAGTGGAATAAAGCCAGTTACTCACAAACGGTCCAAAATAATTACAGATGATGGCATTCTGGAAATAAAAATTCAAGCTCCGAGAGAATCCAATCTGACGATGGAGCTTAGGTCTGGAGTTGTTGATGATGCTGCAATTGTAAAATACGCCATTCTTAGGTGGGAGGAAGGTCATTACATCATTAACACGAGACTTCCAAAAGCTGGACATTATATCATGAAAATAAACGCCCGCAATCCTAAAAGGGGAACTGAGGTGGAGAATGTGTTGAATTACATTATAAAAAACAATGGAAAACAGGAGATTGATAATCCCTACCCGCACATTGAGAACGGTGTCTTAGGATCTACCGAGAGTGCCGAAAATCTTGGCGTTCGTGCCGTGTTCGCAGAAAACATTATAAGAGCGAAGAAAGGCAAAACGGTTGTGGAAATAGCAGCTGATGAAGAAACAAAAATCATGCACGAAGTAGACTGCACGAACGAAGAGGGAATGAACACTATGGTAGCCAAAGCATCACAGGAGGGGCAGATTCACACGTACGATTTGGGTCTACCCGTCGCAGGAGAGTACTCCCTTAACATTTACGAGAAACAACAAACTGGTGTCAATGTTTTGTATGCATTTTTAATTTTATCCACCGGAAAACCAAAGAAACCCGTCGGAAACAAGTCTGACAGGACCAAATCGCGAGGTTCATTGTCGAATAAATCAACAGTGATTGACCTGTCAGACGTGCCTGTTAGCAATAAATCAAATACAAACACGCCAAGACTGATCACCAAAACATTCCGCACAAAAGAAGTAGAGCTTTATGTTCCTGCGCCTGATGACACCGTTAACATTGTCGCCATTTTGACTCCGAAAGAAACTCCAACAAACACAATAAATGTGGCACCCCTTCGTAAAGATGGAAGTAACTGGTTTAACGTACCGCTTGCTTCTGTTGGTGAATATAAATTTGATGTCATGAAACAAAACAGCGACTCTTCCATCAGCTATATCGCCAAATATAAGATTCGTCGGCTAGACATCAACGCATCAGAGGCCAACCAACCGGAACAGCCAGCCTTTGACCCGGATGCACACTTCAAGGCACGAGGTAAGTTATGAAGTGATATGGTCATGATAGTATTAAGATGATTGTTTCTCGAAGAGGTTTTTATTCAAAAGTTTTATTTTTCTGACGACGATAAAAACTTGAGATTTTTTTGTAGCGAAAAAGAAGGAAGAAGTTACACAGAATCTGGAAGACGCCATCGAATCCCAGAGTGTTGGGAGGATAGAGAATGCGATGATTGTATACGCCGGTAACGTTAGCAACAACAACCAGGATCGTCTGCTGGAGAAGGCCGAGCAGACATTGAAGACATTGGCCGTCAGGAAAGGTAGCCATGGAGATGACTCCCCACGTGATCACTAACAATCTCTGTAGCACGTGGTTTAGTTGATGTGACCGTGTACTTTACTTTATTAACATATCACTTTCATTGTTTTTGTACATCAGTTAGAAGCACAACATCATTCTTCTTTTGTCTTTGTGATATAAGTGTACATTTTTCTCGTTGTTGTAAAAACAATATTTGCACCTTATCCATGTCTAAAGCAGAATTTTAAAATCTTTAACAAAGAATTTACATGTATTTTGAATGTGTGATTATTCATCGAAGACTCATCTTTTGTTTAACTCTTTTTAATTACTAATATAAAAGCTTATTAGTTCTTTCTAGCTCTAACGTGTAAATAACCGAATATCTAATAGTGTTAATAAAAATGTAGTTCGCTGTATTGTTTCAATAGTTTGATTTAAATGTATTTTTATTTCTTTTTTATCCATCTTTTATGCTTGCTATAATTTTTGTTTTAAGCTCACATGTGCCCAAAGATAAAGTGAGATTCCCTCATCTTTATGTAGTTTAAATGTGTGTCTGTCACCTTATATACTTAAGTGATCAAAGTTTTTCAGGAGTTTTATATTGAACTTTGAATGTAAATCCTGTGAATATAATTTTTGTTGGTACTGTAGCATCTTTTCATGTATAAAGCACTGTGAGTTTCCCTAATTTGTTTCATTTAAGAACTCTTGGGATAAACGTGGGCCAACTTTTTTTTTTATAGAAATAAAACTAAAAATATTTTTTTTTTCAATATTGAATGAAGCAGATGAAATATTAATCAGATGAACATTGTTACACATTGGTCATATTTTTTTTGTTTCTATGAATGACATAATTATGTAAATGTTTAACATTTCACGATTATACTAATTTACTAATTTATTGTCAGATATGTTAACTACCATTTCAACGACTTCATTGAAATATATGATTTAGATTTGATAAATTAATGCATGGCCTCTTACATGATTTATTAAATGTGTTTTGAGTGTGACAAACCGATGACACGTTGCAGATTTACTGGGCGCATACGAAAAGAGACACATTCCCACACTGGAGCGAATGTTAAACAGGGCACGCGCCAACAACTTCAACAATATCCTGGATTCCGAGATCGTGCTGGCTAGCCGTCTGCTGGACAGACTCAACAATCTAAAGAGTCTCCGAAAGGAAGTCATGATGAAAGACTCGAAGGCTCTGACGGAACTGAAGCGTTACGCCAATCCTCCGGCGGGGGTATACGAGGTGATGTCGTGTACGCTACTGCTGTTAGGACACCCGCCATGGGATATAGACGTATGTGACCACAGTGAATATATCTGTGCTTAATCAATCATCAATATTATTTGCAAGTTTTAAATTTTTTTTTGAAAAAAATACATTCTTTTTTCAGACATGGGCAAAATGTAGAGCAATAATAAGCCGCACCGGAAAAGATTCAATAAAATTCAAAATGGCTGATTTTGACCCACGTGACGTGCCGCTAGATGTCGCACTAGATGGCAGAGACCTAATAGATCCATTCACGGAGAAACAGATTTATGACGTCAGTCCAACGGCCGCTGCATTCCATTATTGGGTAAAATTCATTTTGTTTTACTTGCATGATCTGTAGATTTCATTAAGAAGGAGATGATATCTCGCTAAATATTATGATCAGAGGCATAGTTATTTATGTCACTGTCAGACTATATGTTTACTACATGTTCTATATGAGCTAAGCTCGGTCAATCCCATTGTCTTTCAAAATTTAGTGAAATAGTCTGAACAATTTCAACCTTTCATTTCTTGAAGTCACTTTGGCGAGATACCATTTGGAATCTTGTTCATGGTTAATTTTGGATCACGTGCACAAAACATAATGATCATATGACATCATTTATAGGTGAAAGAGCAAATTACAGAAATAAGAAATTCTGCTGGTAGTCTAGGATACACAAATTACAGAAATATGACATTCTGTATATAGTCTAGGAATCAGGTCGGGGCTCTGAGTGATTGCCAATTCTCTGCACTTGGAGATCTTGTCACAGTTTGACGTCACATTGTCTGAAATTTCAAGAATTGCGTCATTTCCTTATACATGTACACTTCACACAAGTGATTGCTCACATGTAAAAAAGTTAACGTATTTCTGTATCATATGTTCAGAGGTCTCACAAAACTCTTCACATTTTCCACCATCACTTTTGTTGATATAAATGTTCAAACATCTGCAAGTTAATTTGGCCGTTTCACGATTAATCTTCTTTTTTTTTTGTATCTGAGGATTTAGAATTCTTTACAAATCAATAATTACATAAATTGAAAGTCACTGAAGGTAAATCTCGTATTCATTACAGGACACTCGTCAGCTAACGGAGGTCGAGACCACGGCTGTATCTTTAGGAGGAAAGAATTTCGCGCCAGACGAGGTGCAGGAACTCGAGACTATCGCGGAGAGCGAGAACTCTGAATTAAACGGTACAGACGTGTTACCTCTGACTGAGGAAAACCTCAATCAGTTTGATAATACCTCCAAACAAAATGGACATGTTCAATTCGACCCAAGTCCTTCTCCAAAAACAAACGGGCATGGCCCGCCTCCAACCTCAAATAACATCAGCGACACACACTCACGGAAACCTAGCACAGCATCACGCCCCCTATCGGACAGAACCGTCTTATCCAATGGAAACTCTAGGCCCTCACCCCTCCCTCCTATCACGCCCAGGGGTATCTACACAAACGGATCTCCAGCGTCGTCAAACGCCTCCTTAACACCACGGGGGCAAAAAATATTCAACTATAGGACCTCCAGGAAGAGCGGCTTTGTAAATCTGAGGAAACTCGGAATTATTCCTGATTGGAAAGGCTGAGGTCAAGGGAGGGAACTCTGTATATATCATTTCAAATTGCCATCGATTTATTGATTCACATTGATACGTTGTATATAAATTAATCATGATGGTACGCTTTTCTTCTCTATACTCGAAATAGCTAACGTCCTATTATGGACATATGCAAAAATTATCACTGGATTGTTAAACGCTCATTGATAAAATGTTAACTTGTATAAAGTTGTTTATAAATGCCATGATTACTTCTTCATCACTTGTTCATCAATTTAAAAAATGTATATAACAGTGGTTCAATTTGATGTTTCATTCTGGTGGCATATTTCTTGCACCACTTGTGAAATATTTATGTTTCACAAGTAAGATATCTATTTCTCAACTGTCAGATAATTATGTCAGTTTGTCAGATAATATCATAACGACCAGGAGCTCGGTATCTTGTTACCATGGTGTACACATCTCACAAATCGACAAAGTTCTCAGACAGTAATGTCGACATCGTTATACAACCAGTCGACATAATTTTTTGACAAGTGGAATTGTCAGATATTGCATGAATATGTCGAATTGTCAGATTATGATGTTGACTTTTTACTTCTCAGATAATATATCGAACGCTCGGATATTTTATGTTGATTTGTCCGAAATATATTGGCTTGTTAGTTATGTTGTCAAGTGATGGCCTAAACTGGGCATGGACATACTGAGTATTTTTAAGTTCATTTTTTTGAGACGTGAATATTTCGAGACATGTTAACAAAAAAGTCTGACAAACCCTTAAATTATTTATCTTTCAACAAAACATCTGACAAGTTGGCATAATTATTTGACAAGTGAGGGGCAGCAATAAGCCACCATATACTATTTTTTTCTGCCAAATACATGGCTATAACCTACAAACTTTGAACGCCTTGAAATATATATGAAATATGCAACATGTACTGTAGGGAACAGTTTGCGAGATTACTCTTTTCTCGACGTAGGGCAAAGCAGGACACTGACAACATGCAGATTAGTTTTTCAGTTGTTTGTTTTTTGTTTTTGTTTTTTTGTTTTTTTTTTATATGACTCGTGCCGGTTTGATTTTTTTTTTTAAAGATTGAAATTTGCATTTCATAAAATAAATGAAATGTAGCGTGATAATAACCAAGCTGTGTCCTTTTGAATTTAAGCATGATTGTCCTTCAGCCAGAAAAAAAAAACATCTCGAACAAGAGATGCCCCTGTATGGCAGCTTATAGCAAGGGTTGAATTATTTCAAATGCAAGTTAAACAAAATTCAAGATTAAAAGGTCAAAATGATCTGGTTGGTACATGTGCCCAAAGGAAGGTTTTGTCATAAGGAATACATCCGTGAAATATCAAAGCCCTTGTTCTACTTGTTCAAAAGTTAAGGCCAAGGTTAAAGTGACTGTGATGATTTTATGCAAACTAAGGTGGATCAAACACCAAGGTCAAAAGGTAAAATTTGGTGGTACCCAAAGATAAACCTTGTCAGGGACAAGAAATACACTAGTGAACTATGAAAGTCCTAGTTCCACCCACTCATAAGTAATGAACGGTTTAAAATTTGCGGACAGACAACTAAACAGACAGACAAACGGAAGGGCAAAAACAATATACTCCCGAAAGGGGGACTAATATTTATCAGAACACGTCTCGTTCAACTTGATCTTTTATCTTAAAATGTATTTAAAAAATTATACATCTATTAGATATTGCATAATCGACGTTTTCATTGACACATTCCTAAAATATATATCTTTTGTAATTTTATCTTAACATGCTATGAACATAATATTCGTATATATAGATGTACTGTACATTGTGAATTCTGTAACATAAATTGTGAGAACTTGGAGACTTAACTGCAATTTTGCAGAACCTGAGTATATATATGAACAACCTTAAATATACAATTACATGGGAACAGTATTGCTAATATGAAAGTGTGAGGAGCTCTAGATATACATTCAATTAGTATTTCTCTGTTCTTTTATGATACAATGCAAAAATATTAAAGAAATCAAAATAAGTATTCAAATGTTAAATCCAAAACTAAAATATACATGTATACAAGAAAAAGTCACACGAAGAGGTAAAAAAAAAAATCAGAATCTCGGGAGTGCAAAGACGTCTACACAATTAGCGTAACATATGTAAATATTTACTCTACGATGTTTTAAAAATTCACAGATCACACCTTATCAGTGGGAAAATCAGTGTTGAAATGCCAGGCTAATTCCCTCCATTGATAACGTCCATCTTCCGCATTAAGTCGGCACGGTATTTTCTTCTCACATCACTCAAAAGTATCAAATGTCCGCGCTTTCGGAACAAGAAGCAGACGATTTCAGCTCTGTGTTCGGCAATGTATGTTTCCTCATGGACCCGTAACATCTTTTATCTGTGTATTGTCTTTCTCTGTTGTTGTAAAGTGTCCTCTTCTCTGGACGATGATGACGACGATGATATTAGCAATGAATCTGTTTATATACGGACAGCAGAAGAAATCGCCTCCAAGAGCAAGGTAGATTCTCTAGGTCCAGTCTTAAAACGTCACATTCAGGCGCTACGCCGAGTCAGCAACAAGAAGGTGGACATTGTATTTCTAGTGGACAGTTCTGCCAGCGTGGGACCGCGGGACTTTAATTATGAAATCAAATTCGTCCGGAAGCTGCTGGCCGACTTCACGGTGGATTCTAACCATACAAGAGTCTGTGTGATCACGTTTTCCTCCAAAAAGCGCGTGCTTCGGCAGATTGACTATGTGGGTCAGCCTCTGGTAGATAAGAACAAGTGCACGCTCTTAGAGGAAGATGTACCTAATATCCGATACGTGGGGGGAGGGACCTATACCCTGGGTGCCTTCCAAGAAGCTAAGGTAAACTTACCTGTAGCTAGCCATTGTTCCACTAACATTTTGTTATCATGATTTTTATAATGAATTAATGTATTTGCAAATTTGATGTACCCTGTACTAACTGTAAATGAGATGGACATATATATTTCTTTTCAAAAACATAATTGATTTAAAAAATGTTTTTCTTTAATAAGATAAAAAAAAATAATAAGAACTCATAAATAATATAAAACGTCTTTTACTTAAAAAAAATTCCGTTAGGTAAATTTGCAAGGTAACTTATGCAAAATCATCCTGATTATAAAGACATATCTTTGACCTCATGAGCCTATTTATAAAATATTCCTTCAATCATTTTCATATAATTTATTTTAAAAAATCTAATACCTTGCACGCGGGGTGAGGTGGGGTGGGGGTAGGGGCAGGGGCTTCTATTTTAAATGATTGTATAATTATCTATCTATTTTGAGATATAAATATATATCCGATTTTTAACTTAATTTCCTTTGAATTTGGAATATATAATCATTTTCCTTAATCAAATTGTTTATAATTTTTGATTTTCTCCCGATTTACATATTGGATATCTAAAACAATAGACTGAATGTTCAGTATGATTTCTTGATTATATCATAAACGAAGAAATAAGAAAAAGACATAATTTTTCAAAATAATATTTTTTTAATGAGAGACAAATCTAATGAATCTTAAAGTTAATGTGGTCTATGGATTAAAATAAAAACTCCAGTATTATTTCTATAGGACACGGTTTTTGCCAAGATTAATGTTTTAGTTTGAAGATAAAAATTTTCCTGGAATTTTTCCCGGAATTCCGAATGCGTAAATTACATTATTTACTCCAGAAGATAACATCTAACTTTCTCATGAAAGTAAGAATAAACAAAAGTTGACTACGTGCAGGATAGTCTCATAGTCGCATGTGCCATGAATTGATTGCGTTAATATTTTCCTTACTATTTCAAAATTCATAAAAGATATATAATGTATGAAAACTTGCAGGAACACATTACTGATATGATCTTGAAATAAAGACTATGAGAGGGCATGCATGTCGTTTAAATTAGTATATCAACAGAGATTGTTTTCTGTTTATTAATCCTTACTTTCATATCTCTAGGAAGTACTGAGCACATCGAGGACAAACTCAGAGAAGGCCATTTTCTTGGTGACAGACGGATTCTCTAATGGCGGCGACCCTAGACCGGAAGCTAAATATCTTCGCGACAAAGGCGTCAAAATATTTACGTTTGGCATCCGGAATGGAAACGTCCGGGAGCTCGTCGACATGGCGTCTGATCCTAAAAACGAGACATCTTACATTCTGGACAGCTTCGAGGAGTTCGAAGCCTTGGCAAGACGTGCCTTACATGAAGGCAAGCAGAAACAAAATAAAAATAAAAACCGCATGCACCGCTTTCAAATAGTTACTTAGTATATTGTTGATTTGTTCTATCGTATCTGTTCTACAGATAAATATTCATTGATAAATTGACCTGTTACAGATCTGGGTGCTGGGTCCTATGTAGCGCAGTCTATAGACAAGTGTCGCCATCTGTGCATCGATCGGTCGCCATGTTGTGATCAGAGAGCCACGTGTCGCTGTGGTACACATACGGGTAACTTTGAGTGCGTCTGCCGGGAAGGTTTCTATGGAACGGGACTCTATGGAGAATGCTATCGTATGATGCCTAAAATTTTTGTTAATTATCAAAGTTAAAATATAACTATATTACAAATGCATTTATGTAAATAATAAAACATATTACTTTGTTAAATTAAGTACTAGAAAAATATACCCATTCACTGAAAATTTATATCAGTGTGAGAAAAGCTTTTTTAAGTTAGCGTTTCAAATAAAAATTAATTGCAGAAAAAGGTACATGATTTTAAGCAAGATTAAGTATTGGAAAAGGTTCAATTATTAATGACATAGTGATGATGTTAAAGAAATCGTATTGTGAACATTGCAGCCTGTCCTTCCGGTACTTACAAAGACGAACGTAAACTTGGCGACGTATCCACGTGTAAGAAATGCCCGGATGAGAATCAGTCGACGCAGACCGGGGCTACTCACGTGAGTCAATGCTCGTGTAAGAAGGGCTTCCGGACCTTTAATGGGACAGGATGCTCAGGTGAGTGCCGCACTACCTATCAATGAAGTAACCGCCATCATGACCATTAACCAGGTCATAATGATTTTTGATTTGACTTTAATATGTAAACGTTTTAGAATTCCAAGAATTCACCTGGAAAAAATACTTCCGCAGAAAAAGTGCGAAGAGTAATGGAAATGTTTAACAAAAAAGTGTTCTTAACTTTGTACAGTCCTCCGCTGTCCCGAGTTACAGAGACCCAAGAACGGCTACTTCGTTAATGACTACTGTGACAGTGTATTTAACGCGGCCTGCGGCATCAAGTGTAAGCCTGGGTACGAGCTGCGAGGGAACAGTCTCAGGATCTGTCAGGAGGACGGCCACTGGTCCGGCGAGACCGCAGAGTGCGTCAGTAAGAGCCTAATAAATGCACACATGTAGATTCATACTATTCTGACTAAACTAGCATTCGTTGTGCTTTTTTGTTTATCTTATATTACATTGTTTGAATGTGGTTAAGAATTTTCTACATACATGAACGCTTTCGTCTAGAAATCTAGAATTTTTCCCCAACACGTGAATCTATAAGTAAAAAGATGATCTAAAATATGGAATGAATACGGTATTTGGATTTTATAAATTGCATTTGTATTCCAGTGAAAACGTGTCCTCCTCTACCCAAACCTAAACACGGGCATATGATCTGTGACCACGATGATTTCTCGTTCTCCACGGTCTGTCGGTTTACATGCGATACAGGGTATAAACTAGTGGGTTCCAGGAAGCGCGAGTGTCTGGCCATAGCGTACTGGACAGGGATTCCTACGCGCTGTAAAGGTAGGGGTTCTGTGTTGATATTCCTATTGTTAATGACTTCATTATAGAGTTAAAGTATTTTACAGTCTTCAGAATGTGTATTTTCTCTCTTTAATGAAATATATGTAAATTTTCATCTATTTCATTTGTTGAAATGCTTTTCAATGCAAGCGAGATAATTTTCAGGGGATATAATTTTCGTATGACTTACCATTTCTTCAAGATTTTCAATCTTAGAAAAATTAACAAAACAAACCTTAGAAAAAAGGATAAAACGTACGGTCCTATTAGAGCGTACATTTTATCCTTCTGGCTTTGAAAATGGTGGTAAATAATTTTTTTTTAATCTAACAAAAAAAATATTTTTTAATTATTAATCAAAAAGCGTTTTTTTTTTTTTACAAATAAAAATACTCCAAATTGTAAACTTTTAGGTTGAAGTATTTTTATTATTTTTTCTGTTTTGCAACATCTTTTTAATTTCCTTACACCAGACATTCGACTTTCTCTGTAAACCGTGACCAGCAGGAGAATCAAAGAGCCGATCGTCAGGTTAAACTGCACATGATGGGACTAATGTCAGTAAAAAGCTGATGAAAAAATAAAAAGCCAAGAATAAGGCCTCAAACAAATGTAGTCATTTACGCACACATGGCGTAACAGACTACTTTAATTGTTATTTAAACTGACGGCTTTATATAGAATTATCTGCTACATTTTGGTGCAATGAAGTTTCCTTTTTAGGTACATAAACCCTCTGCTTACTCGTATAAAATGTTGATTGAACCTTAATGTTTTTTCAAAAGAAATACATTTTCTAAGTAAAATACAAACAATTATAGCATAGCTTGCGGGGCAAAATTGGACAAAAAAGACACTTAAACTTGGCAAATCTATAAAGGAATAATAGACATTTATGTAATTAAGAGTTATCTCTCTTATCAGAGTATCAATGAACCTTAATACATTTACATACATTTGAGATGGACGTTTAAATTAATATACTTACATTCTATATAAACTACTGTTTTTCTATATGTATAGAGGACTTTGATTAAATCCATCGACACAAATAAGTTCAAATTCTTTCATAATTCTGATAAATTCATATCAAAAGTAATACCTATTACAGAGATCACGTGTCAGCCCCTACCTCAGGTTCGGGAAGGAGTTGTGAAGCCTCTGGCCTGTACTGCAAACGAAGTGTCATTCGGAACCATATGTCAGGTGGAATGTGCTCCCGGATACTCTCTGGAGGGACCGGAGCGAAAGCAATGTACCCCGGAGGGAATGTGGGCCCCTGATTCATTTGGCGAGATGAGTCGATGCGAAGGTATTATTATACTAAGGTAGTTAAGCAAACACAATGCATTCGCTTAAATACGAGAAAATAAATGAATATGTTCTCTGAAGGCAGATTAAGACGTCGTTTGATATATTATGTTTTTATTTACTGTAATCATAAAATTACCATCTCATGAGCTCAACTCACTTTGTGGTTTAATTATTCTTCAGACAAGTCCCCTCCCAACTTGTTTTGTCCTGCCGATATACAGCAGATAGCGCCAGATGACGACAATACAGTAGAGATCACGTGGCAGCCGCCCCTGGCGCTGGATAATTCCGGATTGATCCCGATCATTACAGTGGTTCCCGCCGTGGAACCACCTAAACGTTTCCCTATTGGTGTGACGTACGTCAAGTACATCGCGGAGGATCTGAGTGGGAACAGAGAAAAGTGCAGATTCTCCGTCGTTATCAAGGGTACGGGGTTTATTTTTTTTCAGATAAATTTTTCGCGCTTTTATTAAATTGGAAAAGATTAAACAACTGAAAACATGATTTGTCTTTTTCTGCAGATGTAACCCCGCCAAGGGTTGACAGTTGTTTTTCACCGAATCCTTTTGTGTCATCCACGTTTTATGCGGAGGTAATCTGGGATGAACCTCAGTTTAGCGATAATTCTGGAGAAACCCCGAGAGTTGAGAAGACACATGCACCAGGATTGTTTCCTCGTGGGCTTACCATAGTCACATACCGAGCATTTGATGAAAGTGGCAACAACAACACGTGTGAACTAAATATTCAAGTTATACGTAAGACACGGTTTATAAAAAAAAAAAAACCTTAAAAAGAAAACGAGACCAATTACTTATTCTTGCAAGATATATAAAGTATTCCAACAACTTAGAACACATCCTCTTAGCTCACTAGTATTTTAAAATTTCAGCACACCCCTGCCAATATCCCCCTGAGCCAGTCAATGGTAGGCGACACTGTTATGAGACCACGGAGGGGGTTTATTGTAATGTCACGTGTAATGAGGGTTTCGCTTTTGCCATCACACCTGCAGACGTTTATTTCTGTGCTTATGACAACATCTGGACTCCTGTAGACAAAATGCCTATCCCTGACTGCTCAGGTGAGAAAGGAAAATTTTCCGTTTCGAACTGGTTGTAAAATAAAAATATGTAGATACATCTTTTACAAGGAATTTTTTTTATTGCAGTACAAACGGTGACTAACAGTATTGAGCTGCCCGCTTCTGTAACCTATATTTCTGATGTCCCATGCCGAAATCATCTGGTTCTGAATCAGATTCAAAATAACTTTTTCATCACACTCTCCGGCTTTGTAAGTAATCAAACATGGTATTTTCTAACCTTTCAAATTCAACACTGACTTAATAAATATCTTATTCCTTCATTTTTATTTCCGTTTTAATGTAAATAATGTATAATTTTGTTATTCTCTTCAGGTAAATGGTTTGTGTGACGAGAACATGATCTGTGAGGTGGATGACGTAGACGCGACCTGTGAAGAGGAGGTCGAAGGTCAAGGCTGTTTAAAATAATTATACCCTTCCATACAAAATTTTGATGGATGATCAGATATACTTCACTATTGTTTGAATTCTCATTGTAGATTTTAACAGAATTAAGATCATCCTTGAAAGAAAACGCCGAGATATTGTCCGAATCATCTCCAAAGAGTCTGGAGAAGACGCCAAGGTGTCTGACAGAGAAGTGGAGAGCTCCATCACGTTCGAATTCCTGGTCAGAGGTAAGGTTAAATATCAGAGGTGATCAGGTTAAATGTCAGAGGTAAAGTTAAGTGTCATCAGCAGTGGTTAAAGTAAGTTTAAAACGCAAAAGTAAGGTTAAATGTCAGAGGATAATTTAAAGATTAAATGTTTATTTTAGTTAAAATTTCAGTGTTAGGTAAAATGTAAGAGTAAGGTTAAATGGCATCAGCATAACGTTGAATATCAAAGATAAGATTAAATGTCCAATGAAACTAAGGTTAGGATTTTCAAGGAATATTGGTTATACACATGTATTTTTACAATATTCTCGTTGTTTTACTGTTCTACGAAAAAGTAAAGATAACTAGATACGATCTCGTTGTGAACAACGAGTGGGTCTTCCGTTCGATTCTTGATGTGATGAGATAAGACTTTGAATTAGATTTTCATTATAACGTAATGATTTTCCATAATCTGTTAAAAGACATTGAACAATAAAGATTTCTAAAATCGACTTTTGGCCCCTCACGGCCCCTAATGTTAGGGATCAGCCCTTTTTTCTTCATAACATTTGAAAGCTCTCAGGATTATAAACACTTTTTGTTCAACAACTATTCAAAGATTCTTTTTTGTTTTCGAGTTATTCGGAAAAGAAATAATATGTTGACGGTACGACCGTTATGGCGAGCGCAGATGTTTATTTTCTTAGAATTTAAATCGGGCTCGTAAGTCAAACTGCACGTGACATTTGAGGTGTCTAGACTCTGACGTCACATGACGCCGTATGTAAGTTACATTTCCCCCAAAGAACTCTGAACAGTGCTTAAAATAAATGAAGAATGTTTCGTTTGCTATTTATCTTTAATATTTCTCCATTAAATCAGGGCATGTTTACTTTTAGTAGAACTTTTGCTACTATTCTCACGAGAACGTAGCTTTAACGTAACTTAAACAAGTGATGCATTGTAGGTCCAAATTACGGCATCAACAATTTCTATCGAATGAATGTGCAGTAGTCTGAATTTTCTCTTCGCACAGGCGTTGCTTTAAGAGCTCGCAGTGACGATCGTCGCTTCGCGACGCTCGCTTTTAATGGACCAGCCCATCAACTCCCTAATGCGGACGTTTAGCGAAATATGAAAGGTTGCATATTGTTAAGAACATTATTTTGAACAACTTTTGTTCAATATTGCTTATCAAAATATTTCTCCCTTTCGAGATATTAAGCATCAAAGATTTAGCATTCTGGCCCCTAATTATGTACCATGCGATATGAAAATCATAATATATAGCTGTAGATGGTTGAGATGAACATCTATGCTTCAGTAATGTATTACAAAATATTAACCGTTAAAGTTATCAATTGAAGACTTTTGGCCCCTCTTGGTCCCTTATTCGAGTGCCCAGCCCTTTTTTCGAGATCTCATCTTAAAGATCTTAAAATTTTGAACTTTTTTTGTTCAACAATTGTTCAGAAATTCTTTTTTGTTTTTGAGATATTAGAAAAAGAAATTTTTAGGGGTCAACCCTTCAACTCCTTAACGGGGACGTTTAGCAAAACATGAAAGGCTGCATGTTGTTCAGAACATTATTTTGAACAACTTTTGTTCAATATTGCTTATCAAAATATTTCTTCCTCTCGAGATATAAAGCATCAAAGATTTAGCATTCTGGCCCCTTGTGGCCCCTAATTATGTACCATACGACATGGAAATCATAATATATATTTGTAGATGGTTGAGATGAACATCTTTGCTTCAGTAATGTATAACAAAATATTAACCTATAAAGAATTATCAATTGAAGCATTTTAGCCCCTTTTAGCCCCTAATTTGAGTGCCCAGACCCTTTTTCGGGATCTCATCTTAAAGATCTTAAGATTTTGAACATTTTGTGTTCAACAATTGTTCTGAAATTCTTTTTCGTTTTTGAAATATTAGAAAGAGAAATATTTAGGGGCCAACCCTTCAACTCCTTAACGGGGACGTTTAGCAAAAAACGAAAGATTGCATATTGTTTAGAACATTATTTTGAACAACTTTTGTTCAATATTGCTTATCAAAATATTTCTCCCTTTCGAGATATAAAGCATCAAAGATTTAGCATTCTGGCCCCTTGTGACCCCTAATTATGTACCATGCGATATGAAAATCATAATATATAGTTGTAGATGGTTGAGATGAACATCTTTGCTTCAGTAATGTATTACAAAATATTAAGTGATAAAGAGTTATCAAAAAAAGACTTTTTGCCCTTCTTGGCCCCTAATTCGAGTGCCCAGCCCCTTTTTCGGGATCTCATCTTGAAGGTCTTAAGATTTTGAACATTTTTTGTTCAATTACTATTTAGAAATTCAATTCCATTTTTGAATTATAAGCAAAATAAATATTTAGGGGCCAACCCTTGAACTCCTTAATGGGGACGCTTAGCAAAAAATGAAAGGTTGCATATTGTTCAGAACATGATTTTGAACATCTTTTGTTCAATATTGCTTATCAAAATATTTCTCCCTTTCGAGATATAAAGCATCAAAGTTTTAGCATTCTGGCCCCTTTTGGCCCCTAATTATGTACCATACGACATGAAAATCATAACATATAGTTGGAGATGGTTGAGATAAACATCTTTGCTTCAGTAATGTATTACAAAATATTAACTGATAAAGAGTTATTGAAAAAAGACTTTTGGCCCCTCTTGGCCCCTAATTCGAGTGCCCAGCCCCTATTTCGGGATCTCATCTTGAAGGTCTTAAGATTTTGAACATTTTGTGTTCAATAATTGTTCAGAAATTCTTATTCGTTTCTGAGCTAATAGCAAAAGAAATTTTTAGGGGCCAACCCTTCAACTCCTTAATGGGGACGTTTAGCAAAAAATGAAAAGTTGCATATTGTTTAGAACATTATTTTGAACATATTTTGTTCAATATTGCTTATCAAAATATTTCTCCCTTTCGAGATATAAAGCATCAAAAATTTAGTATTCTGGCCCCTTGTGGCCCCTAAGTATGTACCATATGATATGAATATCACAATATATGGTTGTAGATTGTTAAGCTCAACATTTTTTGTTCAGTAATATATACCAAAATATTGATTGTTAAAGAGTTATCGATCAAAGACTTTTGGCCCCTTTTAGCCCTTAATGTGATGAGTCAGCGCTTTTTTCTTGGTATAATATGAAAGATCTCGATGTTTTGCACAAATAATGTTCAGTATGTTTTAACAAAATAATTATACTTTAAAAGATATGAAGCAAAATGTCTTAAAAAATCAGTCATGATTCGTGTCCTAAATTTTGACCCCTACCGAGCTTCCATACTAGAAACTTTCGGAAAATTTCCTGACCCAGGTGCAACATGGCAACATGTCCTCTATTATCACTGAAAATTTCAGCGCTCTAGCTTGAGCCGTTATTGAGTTCTGTCACAGACACGAAGGTCATCTGAATTTTAAGAAAAGGGCGATAACTCTAGACCGGAAGTGATTTTCAAAAAATCCTTCGGCCGGAATTAACTTCAGATAATTGTGCACCAACCCTGAAAATTTGAAACAAATCGATCGAAAAATCTCTGAGGAATCGTCGGCACAAAATTTGTGCAGAAAAAAAGAATAATAATAATAATAATAATAATAAGAAAATTGAAAAAGAAACAAAAGAATAATAGAAGGGTCTTCCGCTGAAGACGGAAGACCCTAATTATTTCTGGAAATTAATTTTCTTCGAAAAAGGTTTCTATATGATCTGCTAAAATTATAAAAGATAGTTTGTTATGTACAGGACAATATCGAAGTCCCGTGACCCCGGGGGAGTCTGTCAAAGAAAGTCAGAAGACGGTGACAGAACGACTTAAGGGGGTACTGACCACGGTGAAGACTGAGGGTAGTGGGGGGACTCTGGACCTGACGGTAGGGGGCGCTAAGGCGAAGTTCGCCAATCTGACGGTCAGTAGAGCTGGTCCGCAGTATAAATGTAAGGAGGGAGGCGTGCTGGTCAACACTTCATGTGGTAAGTTATACACTTATGTCCGTATTCAATGAAAATTAATTTAATAGACACTACGTAGCATAAAACTAAATTTTACTAACATATCACATTTAATGCAGTTGGTTGTTTTATGATAAATGGAAGTTATCATTATATTTTTCAAAGAATACTAAAACATTTTACAAAGATGTGTTTCTGGGTATAGATATGGAATAATATACTTGGATTTGAACAAGAATTAATTATTATTCAAACTCTTATTACGTCACAGTGAAGTGTCCGGTGGGGACTTTCTTTAATGTGGTATCGGAGTCTTGTTCCGGGTGTCCGTTAGGGACGTACCAACCGCTAGAGGGCAGTGTGTCGTGTCTGGTGTGTCCTGTCAACACAACCACCGACCACAATAACTCCAAGTCTCAGGAAGAATGCAAAGGTACACACTAGCTACTAGTAAACACTAATAAAAAATGGCAAAGGTATACAACAGCTAAAAGAATATTAAAGTTATTATATTATAAAAGAATCCTTTATGCACCTTTCCTTCATAGAACATTGATTCGAACTTATTGTTCATTCCACTTCTACTTAGCCCAGTGTTTGCCTGGAACCTACTCTAAGGACGGTCTGGAGCGATGCGCCACCTGTGAGATAGGGTTTTATCAGACTGATTACGGACAGACTTCATGTAGAAAGTGTCCGCCGGGGACCACCACAAAACGCCGCGGAGCCAGGGTCATCGAGAAGTGTGAAGGTAGGAGTGATTATTCTACAGTACAAAAACATAATCTTGTGATAAGGAAAGACACAAAATTAAAAACAAATGATTTCACTGATGATTGATTTATGTTGCCGAGCTTGAGTCTAATGTTATTTATAGAACCATGTGAGCCAGGATTCGTGTCCTCTTCCGGTCTGAAGCCCTGTTTCCCGTGTCCTAAAGGAACCTACCAGTCAGATCAGGGTCAGAAGGCATGTTTTGAGTGTCCGGGGAAAACGCTGACCCAGTCCATAGCTTCTACTGACCTCACAGACTGCAGTGGTACGTTACAGCTCTTATCATAATCAGTTATTGCTTCAGTGATGAGGGATTCTATAGTACATTATCCATAAAACGCTTTTATGGCCATAAAACTCCTCACTGCGATTTTGGATACAGTACTTTAATTAATATAAAACAAGCAATCTGAGAGTATTGCATAAGCAATACATGTCTCTACCGGATTCCCCTTTTCTCTTTAGGATACAAGCTCACTCGGAGTTCCTCGGATGACTCGTACCTCGCACATTACCTCGGACGTCAACGGTGATCTACCATCTTGTTGATTCAGTCATGTGATCTTATTTGAATTTCTTTCAAATGTCATACATTTGAAATCGTAACAGTTTTTTCCTGCTTTCAAAGCATATTAACATGGGGTTGTAATCAAAACCTGTTTACGATAAAGAATTGCCCAAATTAAGAAACATAATCGAAGAACGTTATGCACAGCGAAATATGAAATAAGTGATAAGGCAGTTTCCGGAGGAGAAATGTAAGGATCTGTTGCGTATTCCTCCACTAGTCACATCCGAGGTTTGAATGGAGCTTAGCGGAGTCAGCCAATGATTGCAATCGCATCATCTCGGGTTTTTCCGTCAGAGGTCGGAAAAACAACCTCGAATGTATTAACATCACCGGATATTAAAAATTTATACATTTCCTGTTTATTCAAATATAGGATAGACTGAGTTAGAAGTCCCTTCTATGGTATGTTTTAGGTAATATCATTACATTGAATAAAGTTAAACTCCATATTCCACAGATAAAAGGTCTCCATGCATTTATTTCAAAGATCGTGAAAAGGGAGGGTTGTAATGGCGTCTACCATATGCATTCGAGGTCGTTTTTCCGCTAGTCGGAAAGGCCCGAGAAGTTGCGATTGTCAATGATTGCCGATTGATACTAGCTCGTTTGGAACTTTAATTTAATGCATAACGAACCCGATCGTAATCACAATTATGAAAAAATTGCCATAATTTCGTCAAAAACCAATGAAGCGGAACGAAATTTAAACTTGATCTGTAAAGGCAGGTATACACGGCAAGATTTGTATTATAAGATTTGTATTATAATACAAAATCTTACTGTGTATACACTTTTAAAACAGTGTTTCGTAAGATTTTTCGAATCTTATAAAACTGTATTAAGAATAGAGCAATGCTCTATTTCCTCATACAAGTCTTAACTTACCTATCACTTTCAACCAATGAAATGTAATGACACTAAGGGTCATCCTATTTTTATCATTACCAAAAATAGCACACGGTAATTAATAATGGTCGACTTTACAAGTAAAGACATCGACAAACTCGTGGCCTAATGGGAAGGGGGAAAGGAATTGTAGAATATATTAAGCAGTGCATAGTACGATGCGTCACAGTTTCAACTGCAGAGATGTGCGTAAATCTGTCGGAATTAGCTGGAAGCTCAGATGTAAAATTTTGTTGCAGGATAAACACAATGCTATCAGATCCTCATCGTCCACTTTTATTACTTTGACAGAGACAGAAATATGGCGGGAAAAAACACGTTAGAATACGTAGTTTATTTACAATCTTATAAGATATGTATTAGCATGAGTACAGGAAAGTATTATAATTCAAAAGTATTATTATACTTGCATTATACTACAAATCTCATCGTGTATACCGGCCTAAACATATCAAGATACACTCACATACTAAAATCCTCAATATCTGCAAGCATTTAGAAAAAAAGTGCGGAAAAAACAGGTAGGACAGACTGACAGACAGACGGAAGGACAGCTAGACGGACGGACAGACAGACAGACAGACAGACAAACGGGCTGATAGACTCAGACCTATAGTCCCCTCCAGTTTCACCGGTAGGGGACTAATAAAAAAGTGTGTAAAGTAATCCTGACATTGTTTTGATAAAAATGTAATGGGAAAAAGCAGTTAAAAATTTTAACTTGTACATCTATATTTAAAATACTGAAAGATATCTATTATAAAAAAAAAAGTGTTCACTGGAAAGTCCTATAATTCGAAAGAGTCATATTAAGACTTCTAGCATAATACAAATTCTCCATATGTGCCGGCCTGTAATATGATAAATCATTAAGTATGATATACATATTTTATTGTTTGTTCAGGTTCACAGAGTCCCAGCAGTAATCGTCTCCAGGCCGATGAGCCGGCGGACGTTGTCGTGTTCAATGATTGTTTTCAGAACCCGTGTCATAATGGCTCCACCTGTCGCTCTCGACCGGTTGGGTACACATGTGACTGTGCCCCGGGGTATAAAGGTAGAATAAAAATACAGCTAAGATCATCTCTATGTTTCCAATCCTTTTATTGATTTTTTTGTAACTATAAGTTAAAAAAAACACAATATCTCGATGTTATTAGAATGGTATTACAATATGATTCCATTTCAAGGAATAAATTGTGACGTCAGAATTGATCATTGTGAGGGAGCCCCCTGCCTGAATGGAGGAACCTGTATCAACCATCTAACAAACTATAGCTGCGACTGTACCACTGGATTTAGGGGTTAGTTTGTTAATTACTAAAAATGCGCCTATTCCTTGGGGTTAGGGGGTAAAGTGCATCTAATGGTTTTAAAGTCGTTGGAACATTGTATTTGAGTTGGATTCTGATGATCTGCTTTGACATCTTTACAGGAGATAAATGCGAGGTGGATATTGATGATTGTGCTTCGATGCCGTGTGAAAACAATGGAACATGTCAAGATCAGCCCAATGGCTTTACTTGTAGCTGTCCTGCTTTTTTCAAAGGTATGAACATAAGATTTATTAATCATCTTACATTGGGATTTTTTAGACTGATTCGGTTGATATATCCACACATAGAATACAATTAATTTTTCCTAGGACCTACGTGCAATGTTACGGTGGATTTCTGTAAACCCTCACCGTGCCTAAATAATGGCATTTGTCACCCTAGCTTGGGGGGATACACATGTTCGTGTCCTAGTGGGTTTCGGGGAACGAACTGTGAAATCAACCATGACGAGTGTGATAGCGGACCGTGCCAGAATGGTGGATCTTGTGAAGACGGAATAGCAACTTATCGGTAAAGTGACCACAATTAGACAGCAAAGCGTGTCCGATTGTAAACTCTGATTAAATACCATAGATTATATTATAGTGTAACTCACCTTTGTTTGTAGTTGTCAATGTTTGGTTGGTTTTACTGGCGACCAATGTGAGATTAACATTGACGACTGTGATCCGGACCCCTGTGTGAACGCCACCAGGTGCGAGGACGGGGTGAACCGCTTTACCTGCCATTGTCTGAAGGGATTCACAGGGGACCGTTGTGAAAGAGGTAATGATTGGGAATGTTCAGGTATAATTTTGGAAAAAAGGAATAATTGATAAACTAAATATGGTTTCTTTTTCAGAACTGGAAGTGGAATATTTACTGGATTTTCCTTTCGCTGGAACGTTTAATTATACTGCAGCAACGATTGAACGCGACCTGACATCAGTTTCAGTCTCGTTTTGGATGAAGTCAAGTGACACCAGTAACCAAGGAACTCCATTTTCTTACGCCTCAGACTCCAACATGGACAACGCACTCACTATGACCAGCTACGACGGGTAAACAAACCAACAACTAGTTAATTAAATGAAATCAGATTCCCACTTTTACCTTATGGCTAAGAAATTCATTAATATTTTATCACATTCGTTTCAAAGACTAATGTTAAATTGGTCGTGGGGAGCCATTTTAATTATGTTGACATTTTCGCTTTGTAGCTTTGTTCTGTATGTAAATAACGAGCAAAAGACGACAGACGTCACAGCAAATGATGGAGAATGGCATCATCTCGTTTTCATGTGGTCTTCTGGCCGTGGGGCGTGGAAAATCTACATTGACGGAGTGGTTTGGGACTCTGGACTTAGCTTTGCAGCGGGTCATACTATCAAAGGTATCATTAACTGAGATTTGGGCTGTACGGCAGATGGATAATGCAAAAAAATGGATAAAGCAAGATCGATTGATTGATGTCAAATTAAGTATTTTTTATCTAGTTAAGTCGTCCATGTGTTTTTCGTACAGGTGGTGGTAAGTTTGTGATAGGACAGGAGCAGGACAAGGACGGGTCGTACAACAGCGCGGAGTCGTTTGTTGGACAGATAACCCACCTTAATATCTGGGACAGGGAACTGTCCTACGACGAAATCAACTCCATGAAAACATCATGTCGGAAGTTTATAGGGAATGTGATCGCGTGGCCCGACATACAGATGGGGCTACATGGTGCTTTAAAACCAGAACCTTCAAATTTCTGTCGAGGTAACGGCTGATAGAGGGCGCTGTTTGAATATCATGGCTAATGCTTTGCTTTGCTATTCCAGTAAAACATTTGATCTGTATTCAAATATGACTATTATATTTTACATGAAGCATTATTAGAAGATAAATTATTTATTTAACACAAACTGACTAAAAATAGGCCTTATATATTGCTAAATACATAAATGATGAATGTAATTTATAATTATGAATGTCAGCATGCTCATTGATTAAAATGTATAATCAAAGCCGTATAAGATTGAGTATTTGTTACAGATATATTTATTCATCTTTTATACATTAATATTTATTGTACTTAATCATCTTTTATGTCATTTACAATGTTAAAATGATTCCTTCCTGATGTGTGTAAGTATACATGTGTGTCTGTGATTTTCGGTGAACATCGTGAATGAGAATTGAGAAATGTCGAGTTATTCAAAAAACTTTGTAGAGTTCATTTTCCGTAATAACATTATTTCTAGACATTAAATAATTTCTGTCAATGGTTTAATATGGTATGTAATCTGTATATCATATACATTAACAAATGATGTGCATTCTCCTATGCAATAAAACATGTGAACTTTTTGTTTTGACTCGTACATATTTGGCTTGATTGAGAGATCTTGCGACAGGTACTTATATATGGGCATAAAATATGCAATTATATAGGCTGCTTAAGAAATATGTATTTTTCTAATGCTTTTGGCTTTAACAGAAATCATATTATACAAGAACCTAGATCCAGATAAACGGTAAGATATATATGTATTATTTTTTCTGAAGTACTTGAAATATAATGGAAATGATTGAATTTATGATATTTAACTGAATTGGGAAGTCCCTATATTTAGCCTTTGACACGTGACTGTTTTTGCTCTTCAGGTTGCCTGGTCCCCGTCAGGCCGGTTTACGGACACGCCGCCTTCTCCTCTACTGTACCCGGGGCCACGGTCAAGTACTCGTGTTTACCGGGGTTCGGTTTCCTGGGTCGGGACACCAGACAGTGCCTAGTGACGGGGGAGTGGAGTGGGGAGGATCTCCTGTGTCAGCGTAAGTCGAAGAACGGATAATTTTGTGATTTGTGAAAAAAGTCAAACAAGTCCCGGAAATATCGGAGGGGAGGGGGGGGGGGGTATTGCTACTGTCCAAAAGGTCCTCAGAGAAAATAATTTCTTGCATAGCTGTATTCTGAGATGTATATTATTATAGGTGTATACTGCGGATTTCCACCAAGAATAAGTAACGGCTATATTACCGGGAGAGACTATTACTATGAAAGCACTGTCAGATACAGGTGTGAAAAGAACTACAGACTCAGGGGGTCTGAAAGGCTCTACTGCAACGAGAACCGCACGTGGGAGGGGGCAATTCCCACCTGTGAAGGTATGTGTGAAGAAAAACTGCCTTCGATGAATCTGTTAAAGAGAAAATTCTACTCTGAATATAAACTTGCAACAGATGTATTATAATATTTTAGAGATAACATGCCAGTTACCTTTGCTGTCTGAAAATACCATACCTTCCATCAATAAACAGCATTACAGTACCGGCGAAACCGTGAGGTTCAGCTGTAAAGAGGGATACAAGCTTTTAACAGACCACGATTTTGTCTCGTGCCAGAGGGATGGAACTTGGGACCGCAGCGTCCCGACATGTGACCCCCAGACCTGTAAAAATATCCCGACGGTTGATCAGGGGGAGGCTTCTCCTATAAAAGAAGAATACTCAGTGGGCCATATTCTCACTTTTACCTGTAACCTCGGGTATCGATTGTCAGATACAAACCCATTAGGACAGATCAGTTGTTTACCTAACGGCAAGTGGGAAAGCAATATTCCACAGTGTGAAATAGTCACGTGTCCAAGCCCGCCATCTGTGTTGTATGCAGTGGCTGATGTTGAGGGTTTGACATACCTGAGGACCGTTACCTATACATGTATCACGGGATATGAACTTGTCGGACAAACGGACGTATTGGAATGTATAGAGGATGGCACCTGGGATCCACTACCTCCAGAATGTGTTCCGGTGGAATGCGGAGATCCCGGTTTGATTGATAATGGAGATGTTGATACACCCATGTATACTTTTAGCAGTGTAGCATCCTATCGATGTAACCCTGGTTATTTTATGAGTGGAAACGCCACACGTACGTGCCAGTCCAATAAGGAGTGGAGTGGTGAAGCACCGACCTGCTCTCCTGTGTCTTGTGGTCTGACGGATGACATTGAAAACGGCATATCTGAGCAAAATGGAAATACATTTGGAAGTATTGCAACGTATGGATGTTTACTAGGTTACGATTTACAGGGGAAAGCAGAACGAACGTGTGAGGCAAGTGGCGTCTGGTCTGGTTCGCCACCTGGATGTACAAAGAAGGAATGTGGTGCCCCTCCGATCATCAACCACGGTCAGCAGAAATCAAGCGGTGTGTACTATCAAGACACGGTAACTTATAGCTGTGAGTTGGGGTATAGGTTGAATGGTCTCGATACACTGCACTGTGGAACCAGAGGACGATGGGAGCCCACTCCTCCTATTTGTGAGGAAGTCACGTGTCCGACACCAGAAAGTATACCATATGGGAATTATACTCTAAACGGAAATGTATTTGGTTCAATAGTGGATTATTTCTGTTTACAAGGATACAAACTTGCAACTGAATCGGCCAGAGTTTGTCAACCAGACGGGACATGGTCAAGTAGTCTACCGTCGTGTGTTGCTGATGAATGTCCTCCGCCATTACCGGTTGAAAACGGTAAATTTGATTTCAAGGATAGGCAGCTTGGATCTGTAGTGCTGTATTCGTGCAATCCAGGATTTAAACTAGTTGGAAGTGATGTTCGCCGATGCGAAAATGCGTTAACATGGAGCGGTAACGAACCAGTCTGTACACCCAAGTCTTGCACGGATCCGAATGATATTATGAATGGAACGAAAAATGTGTCTGGTTTGTTGTACAATTCGATTGTAACGTATGAGTGTGATGTTGGATATCTACTCAGAGGTCCTTCAAAACGTACATGTCAGTCCTCAGGGACCTGGTCTGGAACGGAGCCGTCATGTGATATTGTTGTTTGCGACACTCCTTCTAAAGTGACATCGAATGGCAGAAGCTTTGGGAACTCATCTACATACAATTCGGTCGTTACATACGAATGTGACCCAGGGTACAATCTGAATGGCGCTAAGAGTAGACGCTGTCTCACTAGCGGACAGTGGGATTTTGAGATACCGATATGTGAAGTAGTTCAATGTCCTCGTCCTCACCTTTCAAATGGTATTTTCTCGAATTTCAAGACAGAATATTTATCTAACGTAACCTTTCAGTGTCGTACTGGTTATGTATTGTTTGGTGCTTCAGAGAGAACTTGTTTAGAAAGTGGATTGTGGAGTGGACAAAGCCCTATATGTGTCAAAAGGAGAGAACCACCAGTTGTAGAATATGCTTCAGTGTTAAGTAATGGCAACTCTGTCGTATATTCCTGTCTTTATGGTTATAAAATGGTTGGGAACACAAATCTTCAGTTTGAATCAGACGGGCAGTGGCATGGAGTTAAACCTGAATGTGTGCCTGTAGAGTGTAATACAACGAGCCTAAACATAGATAGTTTTGCGCATGGAATAGTTGAGTTGGACAATATTACAGTGGGAAGTACAGCTGTATATCGATGCGACCGAGGGTACAGACTCCTCGGAGATGCAACTCGTACTTGTTTATTCAACGGCCTCTGGAGTGGATTCAGTCCAATTTGTAACATTGTTTATTGCCCCGGTAATTTTGTAATAGAGCATGGTAGTATTTCCGGAACAGCTTATCATTTTAACGCATCTTTACGTTTTGCTTGTTCACCTGGGTATCATTTAGTTGGAGACGAGGTTATTACTTGTCTAGAAAACGCTTCATGGAGTGGATCTAATCCGAGATGTGAGAGAATAACCTGCCCGGTGCCGAGGGGATCGGGTGACCCCTCCGTCTCCTACGCCACACTAACTGTAGGTAGTACTGTGGAATACCGATGTTCTCAAACACACAAGCTGATTGGAGAATCTTCTAGAACATGTCTACCTACAGGACAATGGTCAGGACAATCACCATCTTGCCAGTTAATTCAGTGCAAAACTCCATCTTTTGTAAATGGCAGAGTTAACGTTAATTCAAACACTTTAGGAGGGTTCCTGACCTACGCTTGTGATGAAGGCTATCGTTTGGAGGGCATTTCTTGGAGATTTTGTACCAGTAATGAAACATGGAGTGGAAAGGAGCCATCTTGTATTGCTATTAAATGTTCACCTCCAAGGTCCATTGATAATGGGATAGTCTTGGATAACGGCAGGACAGAGTTCTTTTACGGTGACATGGTGCGGTATAAATGTACGGAGGGCCACGTAATGCAGGACGGAGATGCAGATCACATCTGTCAAGATACCGGGTCCTGGTCGGGTCGCTTACCTATCTGTGTTACTGTAGCATGTGGTTCAGTTCCATACGTACCTCACTCGCAGACCACACTGTTGAATGGAACTCTAACCTACAACTCTGTTGTAAAGTACACCTGTGCTCAGGGATATACAAGTCAGAGTGACGCTATCGACATCAGCAAATGTCAACCAAACGGAGCTTGGTCTGTCGTAACTATAACGTGTTCTATAGTTCATTGCCCGACGTTCCCACTAATTGCCCACGGAACTGTTACTGGAGAGAATGTTGCTTATGGTAGTCATATTTCAGTTTTTTGCGATGACGGTTTTTCACTCATTGGCGATAGTCAAATAGGATGCCTTGCCAACGGAAGTTGGAATATCACACAAACTCCTCGTTGTCAGCAAATCCTCTGTCCTACACCGGATTCCATTTCGAATGGAAACGTGTACTTCAGTGATTTAACTGTCGGTGTGACAGTAAACTACACCTGTAGTTCTGGATTCAAACTGATTGGTGACAATCAAAGAAGGTGTTCCCAGGCAGGTGAATGGACCGGAAGTGTTCCAGTATGTGAACAACAAGTCTGCAAGGAACCCCCTATTTTCCCAAATACTGTCGTTTCCAGGAATAGAACAGAGTATCGTGTGTCAGATTCAGCTCAATACTCATGTCTACCAGGATACACAATGTCTGTACAGAGCACAACTCGGTGCAACAGTTTAGGAATTTGGGAAGGGTCAGGTCCATCATGCACCAAAATCAAATGTGAACAGCCTAGAGCATTTGAAAATGGTAGAACTCAATATGTTGACGTATCTTTTGGCAGTGAGGTAAATTTCACTTGTAACAAAGGTTATATCCTTTCTGGAGCTAGTAGTATAAGTTGTCTCGAAACTGGTGTATGGAGTAGTTCCACTCCTTCTTGCCAACCCATAAGTTGCCCATCCCCTACATACGTGGAAAACAGTATTATTGTTGGCGACGTTTATACTTACGGAAATATGGTGACATACCTTTGTGATGAAGGGTATGAGCAAAGTGGAGCAAGGGATTTGATTTGCCAAGCAGATGGGACTTGGTCCAGTACTCCTTCCCAATGTCAAAAAGTTCGATGCAGACCACCCCCAGCAATAGCACACACAAGAGTGAACAGAAAAGAGTTTTTCTTCCAAGATAGAGTAATATATGAATGTGAAGAAGGATACATCTTGATTGGTAGTGCTACCCTTCAGTGTGGCTCTAATTCAAGTTGGCTAGGAGTGGAGCCTCGTTGTGAAATAATATCTTGTGGAGATCCTCCTGAAGTTATGCATGCAGCTGTTAGGACGACTGGACGAACATACAATGCTATGGCGACATATATGTGCGATTCAGGGTATACAAGAAACGGAGACCCGATTGCCACTTGCACTGCAGATGCAGCTTGGGCTTTAAGCGCAGATTTAAGTTGTATTCCTGTAAATTGTGGGTTTCCCCCAAATATTCCTAACGGAGTTTCGGATTTCACCTCAACAGACTACCTTTCTTATGTCGTATACCGGTGTAACCATGGGTACACTTTGCATGGAAAAAGTCGCGTTCAGTGTGGAGAGATCGGAGTCTGGGATACGTCACTTCCGGCGTGTTTGATAGCCAGTTGTCCTCCGCCGGTTATCTCTAGTAATGTTTTCATCCTAAATGGAAGCTACAGTGTCGGTGATACTGTGGTGTTTGGCTGTAGGGATGGTCACGTCATTTCCGGACAATCCCAGAGTACATGTACTTCTAGCGGGGTTTGGAGTTCCAGCGTTCCTGTTTGTAAAAGTAAGTAAAAAAGAAAAAAAAGAAATTTTATCGTGTAACAATTACCCCAAAAAACAACATTTTCATTAAATATCTTGAGCTTGTAATAATTTTGATTACAGGAGTGCGATGCCCTGTGCTGAGTCTCTCGGGATCCGGTTTGTTACCAAGTGTTAATAAGGACGACTTTGTGTTCGGTGATCACGTGTCTTTCACGTGTACACAAGGATATGTTATTGTGGGTGGCACAAGACTCGAGTGTCAGTCTGATGGCACCTGGAGCGGGTCTCTACCTATCTGTACACCACAGGGTATTTAACCTTGTACAGTTTATGGCTTTCAAAAATTTTTCTTAATACCAACTTAATATAAATTATATTAAATCAGAACTATTATGTTGTTTAAAAAAAAAAATACTCCCATAAAAATGAATAAAAAAATCATTGGTGTTCTAAAACGATACCAACAAAACTTCTGTCTACAGCGGTAGCAGCTTGTCCCATTGAGACGGGGATCCCTAGTACACAGAATTTCAGCCAGGGTTTTCCGGTGGGTCATACAAGAATGGCGGTCTGTAAAGCCGGGTATGAGGAGGCAGGAAGTTTAGAAGTCACGTGTCAAGCCAATCAAAAATGGTCGACACCCAGCGGTTACTGTAGAAGTAAGTGACTCAGTCCTATATCACTGGATTTATTTTTACAGCTATTAATTGTTCAATTGCAAGCTGATTTCATCAACGATCTTTTCGTACACAAAAGTGGAGATCGGGTGTTTAATAATAAAAAAGTTATCCCACCGTCCAATTTTCACACAAGTCTCCCTTCTAAAAACGATGTCATGGAAAAAAGGTGTAATGAAACATAACGTCATTGGAGATTTACAAATTTCGAGTATTATCGTATCAGGTAATTTGATTTTTTTTTTTTTAATAAATTTCCAGAGCTGTATTGTGGGAAGCCTCCTATCACCGACATGGTGAATGTCATCCGAGTCCAAGGGAGATCTTATTTCTACAAAGATCAGGTTCGCTATCAATGTAGACCCGGTATTCCACCAATGAAAATTCCCCCAGTCATCACGTGCACTGACAGTGGCCAATGGGACGGCAAAATAGCATGTTATAGTAAGTTAATCTTCAATGTATGTCTATAAAATTATTTAAGTTGTTTATTTTTTTACAGTCAATTTTACACGTGTTTTGTTTATTCAATTTTAATATATTAATCTTTTTAAATTGAGCAGAAATTGGCATTGAAAATAATTTTTCTTTACACAGCCAACACATGTTAATTTATTTATGTTTATGAACAGGTAAATATTCTGAAGCAGATCTGTACATGAAATAATTTGCAGACGATAAAATAAATCAAGCAGTAAAATGTAATTGTATTTCTTCATCACAGTGCCGTGTAAGGGCGGATGTAGGAACGGAGGGACTTGTCTCGGATACCTTGGCTGTAAATGTCCCGTAGGATATGGCGGGAAAAGATGTGAAAGGGGTATCATCTCAATCTCTCTGATTCGCTTTCACACTTTATTTATACACACACGCAACGTATTTAGTGTCTTGCAAATATAATTTGGTATAAAAGTATAGGTTTTTCACTCAATCAAAAAACACAGTTGCATACATTTATTTTCATCGTTTTTATTTGTTAGCTTTGTGCATTCTGCCCTGTCTTCACCGAGGTCGGTGTGTAGCACCCTATCAGTGCGCATGTCCACGTGGCTATACAGGATCCCGCTGTCAGTCTGGTGAGAACGATACATAACACTAGCTTAAAAAAATCGGAATCCGACTGTTGTCTCTCCCTCATGTAGCATTATTATAATTTGCCTTCGCTGAATTCGTTAGTAAACACATTTTTCCATATTTCCTATCAGCCGTGTGTGACCCGCCCTGTGCGAACAGAGGAATCTGTGAACAACCAAACGTCTGTCGATGTCAGCATGGCTTCCAAGGACCACGTTGTAAAAGGTAAATATATTAAACACATGTATGGCTGTATAGTGTGTGCTTTATCTTTGTAATTTTTTTCTCTAAATTATTTTCTATGTTTAATGTTAAACACGCTATAGTACTCTTGAATAACTACCGACAAACGGAAATCAAGCGGTTAACTTAGTATTTATATACTTACTCAGCATTGTTAAACAATTTTAAGATATTCTGGTGAATTTTTATCCTACAGTTCGGATCTGCGGACATTTGAGCGGGCAGCTCGAGCTCGACAGTCCACAACCACCAGTACAACAGCGGCCCCGGGGTGGTCCTGGCGGTAGAGTGCCATCTAGTGGTTACTTCTCACTGAAGTGAATGGCATTGCATTTTAGAAAAAAAATTGTGAAATACATGTTTGCAAATCAACAGAAATAAATCTAATTATAAAGTCTTAAGATTTGTGATCTTATGTAGCGTAAACTTAGTTCTATGAAAGTTGTTATCAATTACTGGCGCCTAGATACTTTGTTAAGTCTGGTGGTTTAGATGAATGATATGAAGAAACTGAAAATCGTTCATTGAAATTAAATTGAAAGTTTGTATTCGAGAGCCAAAATGCGTTCCTGGAATGATGTATTTTGAAACAAAAGAAAAAATAAAAGACAATGACAAATCTGCATTAACTCGGAAAACTTGTACGCAAGTTGGTGAGTATCAATTTCCCAATTTTTTGTTACGAATCAATAGTAATTAAGAACTGTTGCCTGACAATCTCTCATAATTTTGTATACATGTGGTACCAACTACATGCACTTACCATTAAATGTAGAAAAAAAATATCATCGCTCCCATGACTCTGTCCGAACCATCATTTCTATATTGACTTTGCATAAAGTTCCGTCCAACCATTGCTCTTTTCTGAGGCAATCACAGAATATAAAGCTTAAACTCACCCTGTCAATAAAAAAATTTGTTATGTACCTAATTAATTATCTGATTATACACGATATTTTTTTTCAACAAAGCAGCGGTGCCTAATTGTTTACATTAATATTGAAGCATCAGCACAGGTATTTTGTTGAACAATGTTCGTTATTCATGTAAATAAATCGTTTGCTTTACATCGACACGAGTTGCTTTATTTGCCTTGCTGAGATTTATGATATTTATCTGTGTCCTGAAAGAGGTATTCGTCCTTAATCTTTAGAGATAGCGAAGCATGAGGAAGTTTTCGAATTACGCTTGAAACCTGTATACAGTAGATCAAAAGATGAGTTAAAATGAATTCCTTATTCTTGTGGCTTATAATTACCAGTATAAGTAACGCTTGTGCTGAAGGCTATCGTTTGGAGGGCATTTCTTGGAGATTTTGTACCAGTAATGAAACATGGAGTGGAAAGGAGCCATCTTGTATTGCTATTAAATGTTCACCTCCAAGATCCATTGATAATGGGATAGTCCTGGATAACGGCAGGACAGAGTTCTTGTACGGTGACATGGTGCGGTATAAATGTACGGAGGGCCACGTAATGCAGGACGGAGATACGGATCACATCTGTCAAGATACCGGGTCCTGGTCGGGTCGCTTACCTATCTGTGTTACTGTAGCATGTGGTTCAGTCCCATACGTACCTCACTCACAGACCACACTGTTGAATGGAACTCTAACCTACAACTCTGTTGTAAAGTACACCTGTGCTCAGGGATATACAAGTCAGAGTGACGCTATCGACATCAGCAAATGTCAACCAAACGGAGCTTGGTCTGTCGTAACTATAACGTGTTCTATAGTTCATTGCCCGACGTTCCCACTAATTGCCCACGGAACTGTTACTGGAGAGAATGTTGCTTATGGTAGTCATATTTCTGTTGTTTGCGATGACGGTTTTTCACTCATTGATAGTCAGATAGGATGCCTTGCAAACGGAAGTTGGAATATCACACAAACTCCTCGTTGTCAGCAAATCCTCTGTCCTACACCTGATTCCATATCGAATGGAAACGTATACTTCAGTGATTTAACTGTCGGTGTGACAGTAAACTACACCTGTAGTTCTGGATTCAAACTGATTGGTGACAATCAAAGAAGGTGTTCCCAGGCAGGTGAATGGACCGGAAGTGCTCCAGTATGTCAACAACAAGTCTGCAAGGAACCCCCTATTTTCCCAAATACTGTCGTTTCCAGGAATAGAACAGAGTATCGTGTGTCAGATTCAGCTCAATACTCTTGCCTACCAGGATACACAATGTCTGTACAGAGCACAACTCGGTGCAACAGTTTTGGAATTTGGGAAGGGTCAGGTCCATCATGCACCAAAATCAAATGTGAACAGCCTAGAGCATTTGAAAATGGTAGAACGCAATATGTTGACGTATCTTTTGGCAGTGAGGTAAATTTCACATGTAATGAAGGTTATATCCTTTCTGGAGCTAGTAGTATAAGTTGTCTCGAAACGGGTGTATGGAGTAGTTCCACTCCTTCTTGCCAACCCATAAGTTGCCCATCCCCTACATACGTGGAAAACAGTATTATTGTTGGCGACGTTTATACTTACGGAAATATGGTGACATACCTTTGTGATGAAGGGTATGAGCAAAGTGGAGCAAGGGATTTGATTTGCCAAGCAGATGGGACTTGGTCCAGTACTCCTTCCCAATGTCAAAAAGTTCGATGCAGACCACCCCCAGCAATAGCACACACAAGAGTGGACAGAAAAGAGTTTTTCTTCCAAGATAGAGTAATATATGAATGTGAAGAAGGATACAACTTGATTGGTAGTGCTACCCTTCAGTGTGGCTCTAATTCAAGTTGGCTAGGAGTGGAGCCTCGTTGTGAAATAATATCTTGTGGAGATCCTCCTGAAGTTATGCATGCAACTGTTAGGACGACTGGACGAACATACAATGCCATGGCGACATATATGTGCGATTCAGGGTATACAAGAAACGGAGACCCAATTGCCACTTGCACTGCAGATGCAGCTTGGGCTTTGAGCGCAGATTTTAGTTGTATTCCTGTAAATTGGGGGTTTCCCCCAAATATTCCTAACGCAGTTTCGGATTTCACCTCAACAGACTACCTTTCTTATGTCGTATACCGGTGTAACCATGGGTACACTTTGCATGGAAAGAGTCGCGTTCAGTGTGGAGAGATTGGAGTCTGGGATACGTCACTTCCGGCGTGTTTGATAGCCAGTTGTCCTCCGCCGGTTATCTCTAGTAATGTTTTCATCCTAAATGGAAGCTACAGTGTCGGTGATACTGTGGTGTTTGGCTGTAGGGATGGTCACGTCATTTCCGGACAATCCCAGAGTACATGTACTTCTAGCGGGGTTTGGAGTTCCAGCGTTCCTGTTTGTAAAAGTAAGTAAAAAAGAAAAATAAGAAATTTTATCTTGTAACAATTACCCCCAAAAAACAACATTTTCATTAAATATCTTGAGCCTGTAATAATTTTGATTACAGAAGTGCAATGTCCTTTGCTGAGTCTCTCGGGATCCGGTTTGTTACCAAGTGTTAACAAGGACGACTTTGTGTTCGGTGATCACGTGTCTTTCACGTGTACACAAGGATATGTTATTGTGGGTGGCACAAGACTCGAGTGTCAGTCTGATGGCACCTGGAGTGGATCTTTACCTACCTGTACACTACGGGGTATGTATCCTTTTACAGTTTATGGCTTTCAAAAATTTTTCTTAATACCAACTTAATATAAATTAAGCTTTATAAATCAGAACTATTATGTTGTTTAAAAAAAAAAATCATACTCCCATAAAAATGAATAAAAAAATCATTGGTGTTCTAAAACGATACCAACAAAACTTCTGTCTACAGTGGCAGCAGCTTGTCCCATTGAGACGGGGATCCCTAGTACAAAGAATTTCAGCCAGGGTTTTCCGGTGGGTCATACAAGAATGGCGGTCTGTAAAGCTGGGTATGAGGAGGCAGGAGGTTTAGAAGTCACGTGTCAAGCCAATCAAATATGGTCGACACCCAGCGGTTACTGTAGAAGTAAGTGACTCAGTCCTATATCACTGGATTTATTTTTACAGCTATAAATTGTTCAATTGCAAGCTGATTTCATCAACGATAACATCTTTTCGTACATAAAAGTGGAGATCGGATGTTTAATAATAAAAAAGTTATCCCACCGTCCAATTTTCACACAAGTCTCCCTTCTAAAAACGATGTCATGGAAAAAAGGTGTAATGAAACATAACGTCATTGGAGATTTACAAATTTCGGGTATTATCGTATCAGGTAATTTATTTTTTATAATTAATTTCAAGAGCTGTATTGTGGGAAGCCTCCTATTACCGACATGGTGAATGTCATTCGAGTCCAGGGGAGATCTTATTTCTACAAAGATCAGGTCCGCTATCAATGTAGACCCGGTATTCCACCAATGAAAATACCCCCTGTTATCACGTGCACTGACAGTGGCCAATGGGACGGCAAAATAGCGTGTTATAGTAAGTTAATCTTCAATGTTTGTTTATAAACTTATTTAAGTTGTTTATTTTTTACAGTCAATTTTACACGTGTTTTGTTTATTCAATTTTAATATTTTAATCTTTTTTAAATTGAACAGAAATTGGCATTGAAAATAATTTTTCTTTACACAGCCAACAAATGTTAATTTATTTATGTTTATGAACAGGTAAATATTCTGAAGCAGATCTGTACATGAAATAATTTGCAGACGATAAAATAAATCAAGCAGTAAAATGTAATTGTATTTCTTCATCACAGTGCCGTGTAAGGGCGGATGTAGGAACGGAGGGACTTGTCTCGGATACCTTGGCTGTAAATGTCCCGTAGGATATGGCGGGAAAAGATGTGAAAGGGGTATCATCTCAATTTCTCTGATTCGCTTTCACACATTATTTATACACACACGCAACGTATTTAATGTCTTGCAAATGTAATTTGGTATATATGTATAGGTTTTTCACTCAATCAAAAAAAAAAAAAAAAACACAGTTGCATACATTTATTTTCATCGTTTTTATTTGTTAGCTTTGTGCATTCTGCCCTGTCTTCACCGAGGTCGGTGTGTAGCACCCTATCAGTGCGCATGTCCACATGGCTATACAGGATCCCGCTGTCAGTCTGGTGAGAACGATACTGGACTACATAACACTAGCTTAAAAAAATCTGAATCCGACTGTTGTCTCTCCCTCATGTAGCATTATTATAATTTGCCTTCGCTGAATTCGTTAGTAAACACATTTTTCCATATTTCCTATCAGCCGTGTGTGACCCGCCCTGTGCGAACAGATGAATCTGTGAACAACCAAACGTCTGTCGATGTCAGCATGGCTTCCAAGGACCACGTTGTAAAAGGTAAATATATTAAACACATGTATGGCTGTATAGTGTGTGCTTTATCTTTGTAATTTTTTTCTCTAAATTATTTTCTATGTTTAATGTTAAACACGCTATAGTACTCTTGAATAACTACCGACAAACGGAAATCAAGCGGTTAACTTATTATTTATATACTTACCCAGCACTGAGATATTCTGATGATTTTTTATCATACAGTTCAGATCTGCGGACATTTGAGCGGGCAGCTCGAGCTCGACAGTCCACAACCACCAGTACAACGGCAGCCCCGGGGTGGTCCTGGCGGTAGAGCGTCATTTAGTGGTTACTTCTCACTGAAGTGAATGGCATTGCATTTTAGAAAAAAAATTGTGAAATACATGTTTGCAAATCAACAGAAATAAATCTAATTATAAAGTCTTAAGATTTGTGATCTTATGTAGCGTAAATTTAGTTCTATGAAAGTTGTTATCAATTACTGGCGCCCAGATACTTTGTTAAGTCTGGTGGTTTAGATGAATGATATGAAGAAACTGAAAATCGTTCATTGAAATTAAATTGAAAGTTTGTATTCGAGAGCCAAAATGCGTTCCTGGAATGATGTATTTTGAAACAAAAGAAAAAATAAAAGACAATGACAAATCTGCATTAACTCGGAAAACTTGTACGCAAGTTGGTGAGTATCAATTTCCCAATTTTTTGTTACGAATCAATAGTAATTAAGAACTGTTGCCTGACAATCTCTCATAATTTTGTATACATGTGGTACCAACTACATGCACTTACCATTAAATGTGGAAAAAAATATCATCGCTCCCATGACTCTGTCCGAAGCATCATCTCTATATTGACTTTGCATAAAGTTCCGTCCAACCATTGCTCTTTTCTGAGGCAATCACAGAATATAAAGCTTAAACTCACCCTCTCAATAAAAAAATTTGTTATGTACCAAATTAATTATCTGATTATACACGATATTTTTTCCAACAAAGCAGCGGTGCCTAGTCGTTTACTTTAATATTGAAGCATCAGCACAGGTATTTTGTTGAACAATGTTCGTTATTCATGTAAATAAATCGTTTGCTTTACATCGACACGAGTTGCTTTATTTGCTTTGCTGAGATTTATGATATTTATCTGTGTCCTGAAAGAGGTATTCGTCCTTAATCTTTAGAGATAGCGAAGCATGAGGAAGTTTTCGAATTACGCTTGAAACCTGTATACAGTAGATCAAAAGATGAGTTAAAATGAATTCCTTATTCTTGTGGCTTATAATTACCAGTATAAGTAAGTATGTTTTTATGCTTAGATACTGTGCATAATTAACTTAATGAAAATGAAGTTTAATTGGTAGATGTTATATAAAAAAAAATTCAGGTCAGTGTCGAGGGTTGGTGGTGTCAGAACAGAAAATGAATTGGTCAGAAGCGGCTGAATATTGTTTGGAGAGAAATTCTAATCTTGTTCACCCTGGAAGCAACAAACCATCAAATGTGTCAAATTACTGGACAATCAAACACCAACGACTTTCCCCATGGATTCATGTTATAGGTTAGGTGTTTCATTCAATCATTATCCTTCGTACGAGTTCAAGACTTTATTTTGTTTAAATATTTAATACTTATCGAATAACTTTAACTTAAATGCTGTATAAAACTAATTAGCCTATTAGAAACCAATTAGAAAAAAATCAGATGATAAAAATATTTTAATCTTATATTTAAAACAAAATTGACTTTGTTACGAATATTGTAAAATGTGTCATTTGAAAAGATTTTTAAAAAATCATTTTTGACGGGGTCACATTGACCCACTCTATTAGTTTAATGTGAGTCGAGAACTCAAGAAGCTAGAAACTAAATTAAATCGTCTAGTAGGAGCAAATCAGATAAAGTCTCAACTTCAAAGGTATACTGGCTTGGTTAGTGAGTGGCCAGAGCCGCCCGACCATTAGGAGTCGATTGAGGGGGTTAACCCGCTACTGACTGTTTCACAATGGTGGTAAATTTTCTGTGTGTCTCTTTGTTGGAGTTGAACCTTTTCCTGGAGAATCTGTCCTTTTTTGACTATACACAAGGTTTCTAATAAATCAACAAATGTTTTTGAAATATTCTTCTGTCATTTTCTCCCGTACTGAACATATGATTTGCGTTTATTAATCCTTTTATATCCAATATCCTCTACATTTTTTAACAGTGTAGTTATGGGTTCAGTTGTGAAGTTGAAAATATTGAACAGGCATTCATAACCTTACTTTACTCGAAAGGTTGCTTCAACGAGTCCCTGCTACTTTCGTCAGTAAAACAACACTTCACCTTGGCTTCTAAATCAGCGAGTCTGTGTCAACAGCGATGCTCTAACTACACCTTCTTTGGACTTCAGGTAGGAAAATGATTTTTGTTAATTTTTTTCTCTTTTTCACTTGTAGGTTGCAAAACACATTTCTTCTTTAAAGTATTAACAAAATTTCTTTAATATTCTTTTAGAACTTCAAGTGTATATGCATAGTAAACAACATTTCTTCAGGAAATGCAACTGATCCTACGTTTTGTGATGTAACCTGTAACAATAACGAAGTTTTATCTGAATGTGGCGGGGATGAAACATACAGTGTTTATAAAACAGGTAAGAAGTCTTAAAATAAGATTTTTTTTTATCTTGGCCACAAATTTCTTCCGGGGGTAATGAAAATAAACACATTTGAATCTACTGAACCAGTGATGCTTACATCTAAATTATATATGACTTATCATGGCTTCTTAGTTCTTGAAAGAAGGAAATGGAGATAACGAACAGTATTCAGTCTCAAAGTCCAAAAAAACAATACAAAACAATAGCAGAGCAAACACGGAACCCCGAAACATCAGAGGTGGGATCAGGTGCCATGGAGGAGTGAGTATCCTCTGCCGATCGGTCACACCCGCCGTGTGCTCCTTGTCATGATCAGGAAATAACGGAAAAAAATCTGTCGTCAATTCAGTGTATAAATAATGGACTAACACTTGGTATGAAAAACGTCAGTCAGCATATGACCCAATGACAAATTGTATTTGAGGACAAGGTCATCGTATCGACCATTATTATTGTCACCATAGAACTTACGAAATGATGACTTTAAACGAGACTGCTGATATTCTTGTTTCATCAACTTGCTTTTCAATAATTTACCTCGTTTTTGAAATAGTTCATACGTATAGAGCATGCTATTGCGTATCGAATCAACTGAGATATATATACTCCGTATGCAGGTGATGAAGGTATATTGCTGCACAAGTAAGGGAAGTCAACGATAGAAAAGTTAAAGTCATCACGTTTATCATATATAGGTTGGTTGTTAGATTACCATTAACGTTTTTCCGTCTTTTTCAAGTAAAATATCCAACTTGAAGTATGAAACAGAAGTGTCAGACTCTGTGGTACCTTTTATCTCAAGCTCACCAGGATATATCGTATCGACGTAGGAATGGAAATTACCATTATTAATTGACAATACGCCGTCGATATATCTAAATGTCGAGTTGAAGGCCACAGCAAGTGTTTAAAATCATGATTAAAAGACTAAATCCTACCTAAACATGTACCTGAAAATGCTTCCATACAGATTGTTGTTCTAGTGAGAAAAATTTGAAGATTCCTCCAGTATATTCATGAATATGTAAAATGATATTCCATTGTCACCTTGATGTCATGCAAATGAATGAACTTCAAAATAAATATATCATTGCTGTTCATTATTAGATAATAATTTTTACGTATTTTGTCATCTCAAAAAAGAGAATGGAAGGGGGTGGGTCACATTTAGAATTGAATCAACACATCCTTAGACTGTCTCCTTATAAATATATCTACACATGCCTTTGCTTTTTAGACAAAAACTATATATGTGTTCAGTAATTAGCATTTCATGTTTCACAGGAGATTTTTCTTTAATCGGTGAGACGGGAAATTATCCAGGTTGTTTGACCATTCAATGCGCCAACTTCAATGCCATCAATCATTTATTATGTTCTACTGGAACAGTGGGATGTTTGTGCAGAAATGGTGGTAACTATAATTCTTATTTATTTTTTTTGCAAAAATGACAGCCAAGCAAAAAGAAAGTATCACAAAATAACAGAATTCTTTTCTCAATTTTATTGCCTGATACATCTCTCTCTCTCTCTCTCTCTCTCTCTCTCTCTCTCTGTCTCTCTGATAGCCTCTTAAATATTTAAAAACAACTTTCTTAAGGAACATTTTCAAAGAAACTACATAAAAACTTCTTCAAACTGACAAGGAGCCAAGAGGCCTTACATATTCTAAAAAAAAAACCAAACACCTGCTTAATTCTGTCTTTTTTGTAAAAACCATCATTGCAAAAATATTTATCAATGAAGGGCAATTTGGACGAGAATGGTCCCTGAAAGGTTGTTATTGAATATTTATAAAGACAAGACCCCTTAAAAATCCGCCAATTGCAATGTACTTTTGGTCTCAAATCTTTAAACATTTAGACAAAATAAACACGGAAAACAAATTCCCAGAAGCTATAAAGTCCAATCCCCTTCATTGTTAAACATATATTGTTTCAGCAAAGATGGCTTTCACTTAAAGCACGGAATTAGTTAAGCGTATTCTTAAAGTATTTTTTCGGATAAAGTTGTCTGAGTAATTTTTTTTTTATTTTTGTCTGTATGTTCAAAGTTCGTTTTGCTACAGAACATTTTTCTTTCTTAATTATGTATACTGAATAAACGGTAACTTATGTTATGTTTTTCAATGTTTATGAAACTATGTGTAAATTGTATTTTTTCTGATGTATATTTTGTATTTGTTATAGGTCAATGTCTTTTTTCCATATACTCAATAAATAAAATGGATACAATCATCTTATTCATCATTTTCCATTAACTGCTCGATTACAATAAAAATAAAATTTTCTCTGAAATTCTTTCAAAATGCTACTTCTTCGACATTTTTTGTCTGATTTCAAGATAACTTGGCACACAACTAGACTATACTAAGATACATAATTCTGTGCATCAGTTTTGATTTCGATGAACGGTGTTACTATGGTTACTAAAACTAAAACTTTCTGTGTTATACATTCAAAATTCTACTCCTCCTACAGTTTTGTTCTGATTTCAATATAATTTTGCACAGAAGTAGACTACACTTGGGTACACAGTTCTGTTTATCAATTTTTGATTTCGTTAAACACTTTTCATTGGTTACGTAAAATAGAAATTTTTGTAAAATACTTCCAAAATGCTACCCCAAATACAGTTTTAGGCTGATTGTTATATAATGTGGCATGCAAGTATACTACACTAAGAACATACAGACTTAATCAAGGATCATTATTCTATCAAACTGCTACTTTTGTCCTCCTTTGCTATAAGTCTTCTGGTTAAAACTTATATGTTAGCAAGAACTTTTGAGAGACAAAATACACGAAAATTTATAAATTTTTGAGTGTAAATAAAATATGTTTAAAGTAAACATTTTTTTGTGGAGAAAAGAAGACGTCTGGCCCGCACATTCATGGAAAAGGTGTGCAGAGGGTTGTAAAGGTTATGGAACATATATGCATGGTGAATTAGACGTACAGGGGACGTGTAGCGAAATTAGTGATATCATTAGGGGGCAAAGCTCTTGGATAGGAGTAGTGAAAGAAATATATAATTCGTCGTATACAGGTATCACTTATAGATCTATTTTGTTTTAAAATATTTTGTAAAAAGACAGAAAATTAAGAATTTTTTCTACATTCTACAACATGTATATGGTTGTGCTTTTCCCACGGAGCCTCTTTACATGTCCGATATCTAATAAGGGTAAATTAAATTGAATATTTTTACTATTGTAGGGCCAAATGATTTTTATTTCCTTGTTTTACAATGTTTTGGCTGTAATAATGATAACTGTGGGCTTGGAACTTGTTCAGAAAAAAGGCATGCCGTTTGCAATGAGGTAAAGTTAAATATCAGAGTAGAATACGTGTATAAATACTGTATAAAAATTATTTTATAAAGGACCACTTTTAGAATGTTAAAGGTTAAGAAAAACGAACAGTGATTTATCTTTAAAAAATATTAACAATACAAATCTGTAAAGAGGACAAAAACACGTACCGTTGGAATCCCAAGAAGTGTGTGCAGAGGTCTAGGAGAAGTACGCATCCCCTGCCGACCAGTCTTTCTCGCCGTGAACCCTGTGTATTGATGGGGAAGACGGAAATTTCCTGAAAAAAAGAAGTCAACTTGATTCCTTTAAAACAAGCCAGTCAAATCAAAATCGACCCAATAATATCTTATATTTGCCTACAAGGTCATGATAACGACCATAACATTTTCGGAAAGCCGACTTTAAACGAGGTTGTTGAGTCCCTGTAACCTCAACTTGTCATTGAGTAGACTTTTAAAGAGCGAATAAATCTGGAGACATAGACACACACACCATAAGCAGGTGATAGTCTTAAATATGAAACAGATGTTCCAGACTCTTTATCGATTTTTAAGTTCAAATGTATCTTATTTAAAGTCATTATTTTCTAAGTTCTGTTGTCGATACAATAACCTTGTCAGCAAATACAATCTATCATTAAGTCAAATGCTGACTGACTGACGTTTTCCATATTGATTGTTAGTCCATTATTTACACATTGAATTGTTGTCGGATTTTTTGCTGCTTCAACATTGACTGCTTTCTCCTCTATATGACATTGATCCAACCTCTGATTTCTTTAAGAAGTCAACGTCTGCTCTTCTCAAGTTTTGTTTTATCTAAATGTCATTGGCTTATTTTTTTTAATAAATTGTTTTAATCTGATGAGGGTTACACAAGAATTCCTATGTAATCAAAGATGTAACGCATTTTCACTATGTAATACTACAGCAGAAACCTGTGACTGTACCACAACACTCATCGTCCACTTTTCCTACGACGGACGTATCGAGGGAAGTTACATCTCGGTTAACTACGGAATTGACAATTATATCAAACACATCAACAGCAATCTTCTCACCTTCCACAACATTTACTTCGGGTTCACAAAACGAATCGTCAAGAGAAGACGGTTTGTATAATTCTAATAAACTCAACTAATATAAAGATATTTTTATTTTCTTTCGAGTAAATATGAGGTACTATATTTCAATAGTAGACATCAAATTTATTTTATTTGTAGTATTTCTTCGTATTATTAAACGGATTTATAAGAAATTAATTGACCTTGTCAGCAAACACAATTTTTCATTGAGTCAAATGCTGACTGACTTTTTACATATCATTGTAAGTCCATTATTTACACACTGAATTGACGATGGATCTTTCTGATATTTCCCGATCATGACAAAGGAGCACACGGCGGGTGAGACCGGTCGACTTGGGATTCTCACTCCTACATGGCACCTGATCCCACCTCTGATGTTTTGGAGGTTCGTGTTTGCTCTGCTTATATTTTGTATTGTTTTATAGACTTTGATATTGAATGCTTGCCGTAACTTCCATATATTTTAAGAAATATTTTACAGGAGGTTCCTTTATTCCAACAACCACAATAACTGTTGCTTCGGTTGCCATATTTACAGTTTTATCTGTGATGTTTTTTGTCATCTTGTTATGTATAAAGTAAGTTTTTAAAGTGGTTATTTCAAAATATTTTATTATTGTCCCCAGGTTTTGCAAAAGCGAGGGGATATTAAATCTCATTCGTCTGTCAGTCTTATTACTATGATTTTCTACCCTGTGTCATTGACTTACTTTAAAAAAAAATTAAACATAAAATTGAATTTGCCATACCTTTAAATGAGAAGAGGTATGGCTTTCATATTATTCATGTATATAATCTGTAAAAATAACTTTTTAGATACACTTTGATTTTGGACCCCGAGACATTGACCTTGAAGTTTGACCTACTTTACAAAACTTTTAACCTTACTCAAGACATTTGATTGAAAAGACAGGGCTTTCATATTAGACCCGTGTATTGCTTGTGACAAGACCCTGTTAAATGCACTATGATTTTTTTTTTATCTTTTGACCTGGCTCTTACAGTTTGACTTAAGTTTCAAAAATGTTAAATTTTCCTTAAACCTTTTAATTTAGAAAAGATAGAGTCTTCATTTTTAACATGTGCATTGTCTGTAACAAGATATTTCCGAGCATGCTGTGATTTATGACCCTTGACCTTCACTATTGACCTAATTTAAAAAAAAAACAACTTGGGTGATAACTTCGGAATAACGTATGAAAAAGCAATCTTTGACACAATTTACAATAAAGATATGACATCCCACCCACAAAAACACAGAGAATGGGGGATCACATCGTTATAAAGTATATACATATAAATTAGAACGATTTTCAGATACTTTATGTTTTCAAAACTGTTTCTTTGTGGTAAAAATTTAACTTTGGATTTTATATTAGCTTGTAGACTATAATGTATGTTATTAATCACAGGTCTATGAAGTGTGCTCAATATGTTATTGAAAGTAGAATGACTTGAGAGAAAAAGAAATTCACTAATAATGCCATAGTTTTTTTTTGATACCTTCAGTTTGAAAATTAATTTTTTTGTTTCATAATTATTATTATTTTTTTTTTTTTAAATTTCAAAATTGTTTCACGAAGAAAAAGGCAGAAAATGGTGAAAGAAACTAATTTCGTGAATGAACAAATTCACGGGCCAGAGACAGAATTAAATACATACAGCGGCACTCATTCCGAGGTAAACAAAAGTGAAAGTATTGAACCTCATCATCAATCAGAGGATAAAGAAAAGAAAGACGACAGTGTGTTGGAGAACGATGATTATAGTCATCTACATGATATCGTAAGGGAAAAAGAATCATACAGTGGTAATACATACACTACTCTGACGAATTGTAAATCAGAGACAGGTGATGACGTCAACGAGAGCGAGCTGTACAACCATTTGAGGGAGACGAGCGTTCACGAAGCAGACGACATTTATAATCACGTGATAGACGAAAACGACTGCGAATACAGCTTTGCAGATTCTACTAGAGACTCAGATGCATTTTGTAACTATGATCACATTGTACATCCTAGTACACAAGATAATTTTGATGATTACAGATAGCCGAATATTTGATTTGTGGAGAATCGAATTTGAAAGCAGAAGACATATTTTGTCAATATTTTTACACGTTTTATTGCTCACATCATTATCATTAAATTACTTAATACGAAGAAATATTTTTGTCAAATGTGTATTTTGAAAACTTTTGATATTTATAAGCATCATTAGTGTGAATCGTTATCTTTTTTCAACCTGAATATGATAAGTCACATAGAGTACATAGTTTCAACTTAAAATTTTCATTTTTTTATGTTTACTAACATTTAATTAGGATATTTCTAATAATAATCAAAAATTGGAATTTCAGTTGTCAATATACAAGACAGATTTAGAGCTCCAAAACCTTTGTTACGTACACAGGGCTCTTGTAATAATTTGTTTTGAAAGGTTAAATAGTTATACTAAAAAGGGTATATGTTCATTCAGAACAGTTTTTTTCGAATAGAGTAGTTAAGTATAAATACGATTACATACTAAGTTTGAATATTTTTAATATTCCAAAGAACCAAAATAAATTTGAACTACCATATTTATTGAATTACAAAACTTCATAAGAATCCTCACAAACAAAGATACATTGCAGGTCCCAGTAAATGTCCAACCAAGCCTCTTCCTTTACTTCTCACTAAGATATTGACAATTAGTAGTGAATGAGAAACTTCAAGAGTACTATGCAACAATATATTTAAGAAGTGGTGTAAATCAGATGTGGATACATAAAAATTCCAACTAGTAAATTTACTTACCTTGTCATTGGTCATTTGCAAAATTATTTTGTTAAAACAGATTCTGATTGTACACACAAGTACTCTGAAGCTGACATCAAAAAGACGCTTGGGTTTCTGATTGACAATAACTATATGGTTTTGGAGACCAGGTCTTCCAACAATTTATTGGATTTCCAATTTACCAAATGCGACCCGTTATTTGCTGACCTATTTTTGTATTCAAATGAAGCAGAATATGAAAAATATATGCGTGAAAAGGAAATATCACTTGCTTTGGTCTTCAACCCGACATTTAGAATACGAGGGGTGATCAAAAAGTTCGCAAACTATCTCTTTATCTACAAAACCACAATTCAGATTAGAATGAAATTCGGTACTGTTTGACTGTGAAAGCTCAAGGATTGAGTCAAAATATCTATAAATAGCATATGCTGAATAAAGTTTCTCTCCTTGTTTGTGACGTCACAATGTGAAAATGACGTCACTATTTAGGTCACTTGTGACGAAAAATGGTTGTCTCAGTCAAACTCGTTCAACAAACGACTGTACAATTTATTGTAATATCTTAGAAATCCCTCTGCAGTATCATATAATAATTTGTACACGGTTTAGAGAGATAAATGAGTTCCTATAAATTCAATTAATGATTGCATTAATCGTTTTAGTGAAGGAAGGCTGATGGTTTAAAATGATACTTGTCATCTTGCCCAGTGAAAGCAAGTTTGAAAAGATATGTATTTTTAATTAAGCAATTTGCTATCAAAGACTTCCAATTAGCACTTTGAAAAACAGTTGAATATTTGAACAATGATATAAGTATCAAATACCTAAGATATGACCATTTCTGACAAATTAACTGTTCTTGTCATAAAAATTAACTCACATGGAAAGAAATATAAAACTCGGAAAAATCTTTTAACTTTTGTGACAGAACGCTACAGAGGGGGTCACGTGACCGCCAATATCACGTGATTCGCGCATGCGCAGAACGGTGGTTGATGTGCATTAAAATCGGGGAGGATTAATTTAAAATATAATCAACATTAAAACCAAATCTTGTTTCTTGTATGGGAGTTATTCAATTAGTTTGCGAACTTTTTGATCACCCCTCGTACTGAGTAGATATATCGACGACGTATTGTCCATTAACAATGGTAATTTCCATTCTTATGTTGATTTGATATATCCTGGTGAACTTGAGATAAAAGATACCACAGAGTCTGATGTATCTGTTTCATATTTGGATATTTTATTTTTGAAAAAGACGTTAATGGTAATCTAACAACCAAGCTATATGATAAATGTGATGACTTTAACTTTTCTATCGTCAACTTCCCTTACTTATGCAGCAATATACCTTCATCACCTGCATATGGAGTATATATATCTCAGTTGATTTGATACGTAAGAGCATGCTCTACATATGATTTTTTTAAACGAGGTAAATTATTGACAAACAAGTTGGTCGAACAAGAGTTTCAGCTTTCTAGTTTAAAGGCATCTATTGTGCTATGTTCTTTGGTCGTAATTACAATGACCTTGTCAGCAAATACAATTTATCGTTGAGTCAAATGCTGACTGACGTTTTTCATTCTATATCTTCTCGTGTCCTGTTTTCGACCATATTGTATTTTCGACCTATTTTTCCCAATCTGTTTCCCGTGCAGATACCGCGCCGTACAGCATTATTTTCAGTTGCTACACTTGGAAAAATATCTTTTAAGCACACCTGTAATGTATATACCCTAAATAATAAATTCAACGGATTTTCTCCCATGGTTTAAAGGCAGAGATTTTAAGCACTGTCTTCAAAAATACCTGGTATGGATAGCCCTGTCAATCAAGTGCATGAAGGTCCATCATTGGATTCTGGGACTTGATTGACATTTACTTACTGGTCCCTGTGTATACACTGTACAGTTTGTTTGGCACTCATAGGGACCTTCAAATTAACTTTTGATTCTTTGATCCTCTGCCTTTGTTTATCGGACATGGTATAGAGAAACTGTATCGCTATGAAAATTTTTAGCTTGACAATATATGAAATAGATATACTTTTAGTATTTAAAAGGGTTATAATATAATATACATTTTTAAAATATTCAACTTTGGTACATAAAGTTTTTTTTCGAAAGAAATTTTGAAATTAACTTCAACATATGCTAAACGGTAAATTCAAACTGGAAATGTTACTGACTTTAAAAGTTTAGAGCAGCACTGTGTGAAGTAATAAAATTTTACAAATTCTTATTATGGGTCGCTTGTAATTATTTTCCTTTGTTATTTAGATGAGAATTTACAAGCAATCCTTTTAGCATGTTTCATGGTGACAAAGCCTTGTAAAGATTAGGATAAAGCTACTAGATATTTTTTTATGAAATGTAGTTAACAAGGCTTTTTTTATTTATTAGATTGGGATCCTGGGGGTGAGTGAATTAAGTCTAATTTGGTTGTTACTGGAGTTTTGTTTTGTTTTTTAAATTTATTTAACACATACACTGACATCTTAAATAATCTTTGTTTTAAGATTTGAATTTACTTTATGATACCATAATATTTTTTTTGAATGGGTAGGTGTGTTTTAAACATTCAAAAATGAATAGATATGGATTATTGAGAAAAAAACTTGACTTTTAACTTTACACTTCTAATTTAAGATTGTCTCAAAATCTCCAGTACAGGTAAAGTTTGACATCTGGGGTATTTCACTGTGTATTAAATCACTTCCTGTGTATAGGGATTAGGAGACAGATGACCACAGGTAGACTGCTAGCCCCCAAAGCATTTACACCTGTACAAAATAAGCCCCTCCCTCACCTGGAATTTACCACCCGGTAAAAAATCCCTGCCTTTAAGTCCGACGTCAGAAATCCCAGTCTTTTTACTAATGCACATTTTACCTGTTGATTAATCAAAGCCATAATAGGTTAATTACCAAGATTTTTTCATGGCACTTCTCCGAAAGAAAATTAAGATCTCTGACAAAGAGACGCATGAATATTAAAATGAATTGGTGGATCAAACGTTTTTTTTTCTACCTTAGATATTGGCATTTTCTCACAGATTTTCACTGAAAAATGCAATGTAATTTCATTGAAGTATTTTGGATATGCAAAGCTTCTGACAGATTGGTTTAACCAACAAATAAAAATGTTTGCAATAAAAATACACAACTTGTTCGATGTTTTTTGTAAGACAAACAGTCGTATTTATATTTTCAATATTTCGCAGTCGTAAAATCAATACTGACTGGGTGTTCATATTTTATTTATGTCGAAAACACAAGACGCTAATATTTTTGTAAGGAAAACTGCACCATTCCCATATAATGGCATACAAATGAAATAAACACAAAACTGCGATTTGGGTTATATTTTTTTTATTAACAGACACATATGCCATCCTTTTAAGCCATTATTTTTTCAGATTCTGTAAAGTTTGCAATAAATTTAAAAATAATATCAAAGTAGGTCGAAAATACAATACGTCAGGATATGTTTATCGATTATTTAGATACTGAATTAACGACGGATTTTCCGTAATTTTCCGATTATGAGAAGGAGCACATGGTGGGTGTGACCGGTCAGCAGGGGATGCTCAACCCTCCATGACACTTGATCCCACCTCTGATGTTTTGGAGGTCCGTGTTTAAATTTGTTTTGCTGATGTTTTATATTGTTTTATGGACTTCTTGTTCGTTATTTCTGTATGTTTTATTTTATCATTCATTACAACTTCATTATGATACCCAATATTGGTCAAATATTTGTCTTGGATACGTGGCTTAATATCGGTCAAAGTCCTTTATGAAAAAATCAGCACAACAATCACACTTGTGAAAGGTCAAAAGAAAATAAAGAGGAAAGCTTTTTTGTTCAGAACAACATGACAGCTCATATTTTGTATATAGATAACATCTACATGTATATTTCTTTTAATAAGAAACTGAGGCATATAATAGGAGTCAAGGGAGACAAATCCAATTTATAATAATTTTGCGTTCCTAAGAACATTTATCTGTGACAATTTTATCTGCGAATATTTATCTGTAATAAAGGGAAATATGACACAGGTAACTAAATGGTCTGTTGCTAGGTTTTCAAGGAATTTTTCCCTTATCTCTAGTTTATCTTATCTCGGGATTTCTTTTTATTTGCTACCCGGAAGCAAAAGGAAACATATAAACATGGATATCGGAGAAATTTGTTTATGGATTTTATCATTATGTGCATTAGGGTTTTTTCAAGAAAATGAAAACGGTATGCTTTAAATCATTTTGATAATTATCAACTAGATCATGCCTTCAAATTGCATATATTAGTGGAGTGACGGATTTAATATTCTTTAGAAAGGAAATTTTAGAAGGTTAAAAAAAAGGTTATTGTAGTGTAATTAAGGTATTAAAATCATTATCCCCAAAACATAATTATTGTCATAAAAATCGCCAGTGATTGTGCGTTATAGAAATTTTAAGCATGATAATAATTGCACACTGTTGCAGGTAAATGTAATTAAGTCACCTCACGATGTAAAACGTAATTTCGACTTTTCTCTTTAAAAAGAGAATCAAAACATTTGTAATGTTTAAAATTTACCTAAAATTAAACAAAGAATGAAATCAAATAACACCTCTTGGTGATCTGGTTGTTTGCATTAATTTTTAATACTTAAAAAACACTTTGAAAGGCACCTATTACCAAGGTATCGATACGAACAATACATTAATGAATTGGTATGAGGCCCAGAATTACTGCCAAAGTCTTAATTCATCTCTTGTCGATCCCTTTGAATATGAAATCTCTGTGAATGGCAGTTTTTGGACAAACAGACATTTGGCGAAATATTCGTCCTGGATCTATATCAAGGGTACGTTATTTTTGTTAATTTGTAGTATTTGAGTTTCAAACGTTTGATTTATCTTCAATTTTGACTACAACGAAATACTCCACTACTATAACCTATGACTTTTTTCATGGCAATATTTTTCTTTATATAATCGAAATCTATCTTCACTAAGTCAATATTTTCTGAGACCTTTCTTCTGCACGGAACAATATCTCAAAGCATTGACAGTTGGAAGATGACTGAAATTGCGGCTCAAATTTTCTATAACAATGTAAAAATATTCAGGATTATATTTTCTTGGTAAATATATATCTTTTAGTTTCTATTTTATTATGTGTGTGTGTGATTGCTAAAGGTTTTTTTTTCTTACCTCATATCTTTTCTTTTTTAGGCTGTATTGATACTTCCTCCTTGAACTTCATTGGTAGAGTAGTATCCTCCCTCGGCCAATGTGACAGTTTGTGTACCCACACGTCATTCTTTGGGATCCAGGTAAAATACTTATCAAACTCAATTTGATTAATCACAAAGAAAAATCATCACCTAAAAGAATAATTGATAATAGCTTTATAAGAACATTTATGTATTGTTGCAATATTTAATAGAATAAATGCATATTTCTGCAGAATTCTACATGCATTTGTCTTGACTCAGACGAGTTTGTTGTCAGAAAAACTTGCAACGCTGATTGTTTGAAAGATTTTTCGCCACTTGAACAGTGTGAAAGTAAAACAGATATAATGACGCTTTATGGAAAATTTACAGGTACATGTACGTAAAAACATTAAAATAAACAAAAAAGGTGTTAATCTTAACTTCCAAATATGATACTAGTATTTTGCCAAAAAGCTACAAACGCATTCCAAAATCAAAACAGAAAATCTTTTTTTCTGTTTTAAGCATATTGCCCTTAGGTATTGACAAAACTCAACAAATAACACAGTTTACAAGATATTTATTGGTGCGAATATTAAAAGTTTAAAGAACGCAAACCATCGTTTACATAGCTAGATTTTACGGAGTAAATTTCCTCCCAAAGACTATCACTGATATAATGTTCACTACCACATTACAATTTGAAAAAGGCAAAAATCTACAGGTAAATTTCCTTCTCAAAAAAGGACACTATACAGTTAACATACAGTAGTCAATTCAAAAACGACTGTCCATGATATATAAAAAGATTTTACGGAGTAAATTTCCTCCCGAAAATTATCACTGATACAGTATTCACTACAAACAATAACAAATTGAAAATAGCAAAAATCTAGAGAGTAAATTTCCTCTCTAAATTCACATTGGAGCATTCTACATTTAGTATGTCAATGCCAAATCAACCACCGTTTACATAGCTAGATCTTACGGAGTAAATTTCCTCCCATAGAATTTTACTGATACAGTGTTCACTACTTACATTACAGTTTGTTACTAACAAAAATCCAGAGAGTAAATTTCCTCTCTAAATTCACGTCGCAGGATTGTACATTCAGTATTTCAATGCAAAATCAACCATCGTTAACATTGCTAGATTTTACGGAGTAAATTTCCTCCCAAAGAATTTCACTGATACAGTTTTTTACTCTACTAACATTACAAATTAGTACTAACAAATATCTACAGAGTAAATTTCCTCTCTAAATTCACGTCGGTGCATTGTACATTCAGCACTTCAAAGCCAAAGAAACCATCGTTTACATAGCTACATTTTACGGAGTAAATTTCCTCCCAAAGAATATCACTGATACATTGTTCACCACTATATTTCAAAATAGAAAAAAAAAATCTACAGAGTAAATTTCCTCTCAAATTGCAGGTCGGTACATTGTACATTCAGTATTTCAAAGCCAAATCAACCATCTTTTCACAGCTAGATTTTACGGAGTAAATTTCCCCCCAAAGACTATCACTGATATTGTGTACACAACTACATTTCATCTAGAGAGGAAATTTCCTCTCAAAATGAAATTCATACGGTAAACATACAGTAGTCAATTCAGAAGCAACTATCCTTTATATGACAAGACTTTACGGAGTAAATTTCCTCCCAAATATTTCACTGATAGAGTGTTCACTACCTACATTACAGTTTGTTATTAACACAAATCTAGAGAGTAAATTTCCTCTCTAAATTCACGTCGGTGTATTGTACATTCGGTATTTCAATACCAAATCAACTATCGTTAATATAGCTGGATTTTACGGAGTAAATTTCCTCCCAAAAAATATCACTGATACATTGTTCAACACTACATTTCAACATAGAAAAGAAAAGTCTACGGAGTAAATTTCCTCTCAAAATGCACGTCGGTGCATTGTACATTCAGTATTTCAAAGTCAAATCAACCATCGTTTACACAGCTTGATTTTACAGAGTAAATTTCCTCCCAAAGAATATCACTGATATAGTGTACACAACTACATTACAATTTGAAAATAGCAAAAATCTGGAGAGGAAATTTCCTCTCAAAATGACATTCATACAGTAAAAATACTGTAGTCAATTCAGAAGCGACTATCCTTTAGATAACAAGGCTTTACGGAGTAAATTTCCTCCCAAAGAATTTCACTGATAGAGTGTTCACTACTTACATTACAGTTTGTTATAAACAAAAATCTAGAGAGTAAATTTCCTTTCTAAATTCACGTCGGTGCATTGTACATTCATTATTTCAATGCCAAGTCAACCATCTTTTATGCAGCTAGATTTTATAGAGTAAATTTCCTCCCAAAGACTATCACTGATATAGTGTTCACTACCACATTACAATTTGAAAAAAGCAAAAATATACAGGGTAAATTTCCTCTCAAAAATGATACTGATACAGTTAACATACAGTAGTCAATTCAAAAGCGACTATCCTTGATATAACAATATTTTACGGAGTAAATTTCCTCCCAAAGAATATCACTGATACAGTATTCACTACAACAATTACAATTTGAAAATAGCAAAAATTTACAGATGAAATATCCTCTCTAAACTCACAGTGGTGCATTGTACATTCAGTATTTCAAAGCCAAAGCAACCATCATTAACATACTAGATTTTGAAAAAGTTGATACAATATACACTTTTAACAGGAAAAAAACATACATTTTACATCTTATTTAATAAATGACTTTCGAGGGACATTTTTATCTCAATATACTAATGATTAAATGCATTATTATTTAATCTAAACAAACAACGAAGAATCTATACAAACACATACAGTTTTTTGACTGATTTCAAGGCGTATTCAACAAGGGGAGGGGGTTCAATGCGCATACAGTAGCATGGTGACGTCAGAAACAATATCTCAAGGTACGTTGTAAACTGTATTGTCCAGTCTATATCCGCGAAGAAAAAAGGAGAAGGCACGGGCACTGGAAGTTAATGTAAATATATAGTATGTGTATGTATAAAAAAGAAGGGTAGGACACTCTTTTTGAGGCAAATTCGGGTTTGGGGTATTGTAGGCCTTTCTCAGAAAACTTGACGCGATTAATCGTTCGCATATAACTTACTTTAAATATATTTACTGTTTCGTTCCGATTCAATGCCGTCCCTTTGAAGAAAAAGATGTTTTTATACCTCCAAGTGCCTAAGAATTTCGCTAGACTGCCTTACATCCGGTTTATCCAAACTGAATAAAAAAGTAAGTTCTGATTAGTCAATAATAAAACAAAATTTAGACTGACGGATATACATGAAGCAAAAAACAATTTATTTGTCATGGTATGTTCAACGTTGGTTGAAGAGTTAGTTGCAGTTAATATATTTTAGCCTTTTCACAAATAATTTCTAGGAATAATGAAGAATATTAGAATAGTATATAAAATATGTGTATGACATTGACCAATCAGAACTTAGCTTTTTATTCAGTTTGGATAAAGCGGAAGTAAGGCAGTCTAGCGAAATTCTTAGGCACTTGGGGGTATAGAAACATCTTTTTCTTCGAAGGGAGGGCATTGAAGCGGAACGAAACAGTAAATATATTTAAAGTAAGTTATATGCGAACGATTAATCGCGTCAAGTTTTCTGAGAAAGGCCTACAATACCCCAAACCACATTTTGCCTCAAAAAGAGTGTCCTACCCTTCTTTTTTATACATACACATACTATATATTTACATTAACTTCCAGTGCCCGTGGGAGAAGGAGGCAAGTCCCTCTCTTGATTATTGTCGAACAGTTTGATTTCAAACACATCTATCACATTTACTTTCTTTGACCGAAGCTCCACGTCTATGCCTTCCTTAAGGCTGATGCCATTGAACACTTGCTGAATGCGATTCAAACATGTCCAAAGGGAATTTGGCCGCCATATTTTCAACAAATCCATTGCTGACCTATTGATGAAATTTTTAAACTCGTAAATCATCTCATAAAATTATTTTTAAACTTTCAATTTTTCAAATCCCATGGGCATTTACTTCTTCAGGCACGCCAGAATACATGTTGCGCACCACAGTCGAGCAGTGTTGCTTGTACAATTTTTGTAAAATCAAAAAATAATTTTTCCGTTGGTTTTTCATATGGAAAATTCATTCATCTAAAGAACACGTATATATACCCCCGGTCTACACACACATTTAGACAAACTAAGACAAGATAAATTTTTTTGAGGATGATGTACATTTTCTCATACAAATCCAGATCATATGCGTTTGCATGAAACACGATTTTGAATGCAGATTAGTTCAGACAGGACATTTGCTATTAAAACACTAATTACTAATGCCAAAAGGGGAGTTCAGAGAGTTAAATGATAATATGTACATGCAGGTAGTTTTAATGCAACTAATTGATCGCTACAGTGTTTAGTATTTCACACAATAAAGAAAACAACCACCTTGACCAAGGATCGAAATCCTCATGGAACTAGTACTGTAGTTAAGTATAAAATTCATATGCCAGACACTACCTCAATTACATTTATCGTAACATATATACATATATATTATAAATTTACCTTTATTATTCAATGTTTGGTCTTGCATGGTTTCCTTATTTCTCCATTCATCAGAAAACAGTCACCTTTATATATCCAGTCGTCAATTAAACCACTCCTGAAATAATTTTGTTCACCTATTGAAGGGCGGTCTAACTTGGTTTTCTTTCTCTAACTTGCTTCGTGTTCCCTGCAACTTTGAAGTGGAGATGCCACTGGGCACAATGCAAATATTCGATACCGCCAATTTCAAAACTGCCTTACACACAAATCCTCATGTGGGGATAATACACATGTAACCGGAAACGGAAAAATAAACTGTTTTCACACAGAACCTCAAAACAAATTCATTGTTTTCAAGATAAATGAATGATTTAGCGTCAATAGGTTGTTGTAAGAGAAAATTGAGATGGTCTGTTTCTTATCATTTCATCATTTTCTTTTCCGGTGCGTGAATCCCCGCTGTTACATTTGTAATCAAACCCTTGTATTGGATAGAGCTGCGGCCATGTCATAATATTCTGACCTAAATCAAGCTGTAAGTTCCATATTTTTTCACCATCAAAATCTAAGCCATAAAAAATCATACGTCGCCTCAGTTAGCTATTTACATTTTGTTGATATGTGTACTCTGCTGCAATTTCATAGACATTATCTTTCATGCAGCAATTACCGATATTTAGGTTTCAAAGATGTGATTAAAAATCATTGACTGTTATTTGTTTTAGTTGACCTATCGACACTAACATCATGGGGTCCAAAAAGAGAAAAATAGACTTTAGAAAAAGCTAACGCAAAAGCAAAACTTCTAAAACTTGTTTTAAGCTTTGAATTTTAAAAACTCAAATAATGTAAATCATTTAAAAATTAAATTTAAAAAATATATATACTAGTATATCGCCTTCCTTTTTATATGCCTGTATTTTCTATTCCTAACTGTAATTTATTATTTACGACTTGTATTCGATAATGGTGTTTTGGGTGTTATAACATCGGATCTTAATTACTATAAAACCGTTATTTCAAAATTTTGTAAGCATCTTAATATATTATCTATCAAACCTGAAAGCGCAAACTTACATCTGAGAAATTGTTTATTATGTAAATCCATTGAAGTTTATTGCATTGTACTAAGTTACATGTTTAACATACACTCTACTACAACATGTATCGCACATATGTATATTTATTTGATGTGACAGTATATTAATTAATACATTAATGAAAATATTTATTTTTCAAGATGTAACAAAAAATATTAACAGTAAACATGAACATTCAAAGAAATCTTGTCCGATGGAAGCGCCCAATGAAGTCAATAAAAGTGTAATTGAAGCAATTAAATCACCCGTATTCCCCAAACGCTGGCAAGACAGTTTACGGCAGTAGATTTTGATTTCAGGAGGGTGGATCCTAGGTTTTCAGCTTTTTTTGGTTAAAGAAAAATACTTGATACAATCCTTCATTTATTTCTATCAGTGAAATTTTTACATTAAAATGAAAATATTAACATAGCCAATCAGGATGTGTCTAGGTATCACATCGGTAAATGTTTTCACCAAACAAATAGTAAAAAAAGAATTTGGTAATTGTTTACTTGAAAAAAAAATATTTAACAGGAGATGTTAAACATTACCTGTCACACTAGCTAAAACATCCTCACTCACAAAACGGTACCTACGCGGCATTTTCTGACTTTTTCCATTTGCAAACAGGGCTACCTCAAATTCACGCGTTTTTTAATGTCTTTATAAACATTCCTAGTGTATCACAGGTTGTAGCCCCTCATGCCCGAAAAAAGCTCGTTAAAAAAAATTTATTTGTTCAAAAAGTACATAAAATTTACTAGGCACAGGTACAAAAGTTGTAAAAAAGGATTGGAAGAGAATGAAAAGAAAGGAAAATCAATTTGATATTTGCCTAAGTTTATTTTATCGGTCAATTACCTGTGTGATACCTCTACCCATTTAGTACTCCTCCTCCCTCTTGTTTAACCAGGAAATGATACCAACTTCCGGGAATTTCGTACCCTTTTCCCAATAATTCAACTCGCAGTACTTCAAGAATTACCAAGTTATATCGTACCCGAAGTTATTTCATACAATGGGAAATAGAATTATATGGAAATACGTAAAACAAAAATTGAAAGACAGCTTATTTCTACTAACAAATTAGTTTCCCACAGCATTGTAAAATTAATAATTTTTATAACTGTCTTTTTCTTTAATTTACTTTTTTTTTTACAGTAATTGATTAATATGACCCCCCCCCCCAAAAAAAAAAAAAGAATGGGTGCAAAGGATTCTAAATAATTAGTTTTGTACCTTTGTTTTAAACCCAATTAACTGTAGACATTAATTGCCGTGCAAAAATCTCTCGGGGAAGTTTAAAGATTAACGTTAATTCAGCTTTTATTGAGTTTGTTCTCCAGGTAGGTTTTCTTGGCATGTTTCCTTTCTTTGAAAGGATATCTATCTATACTTCTAAAAACAACTTTTAAAAATATATTATAAAAAAATTAATAAGGAAAAAGCAATACTAATAAAAATTTTTTGCTGACTTAAAAATTCAAATTTATATGTACATCATTTTTAGAATTTAAAAAAATGCATTCTTTTATTTAAGCATAATTTTTCTTGATATCTAGGCAATAAAGTGTTTTTTTTCCCTTAATTGAGTGACTGAAAGTAATTGCGACTTCGGCAGGATGGGCAATGTGATACCTCATTAGACTTAAAGAATACATGGTGAGCACATATTGCTCCTAATCGAGAATTAATGGATGGAGGATCTGATAACCATATGTACTTAACTGTGTGGGATTGTTTTGCATAACATGGAATAAAGAAAGTAATTTTGTAGACACTATTTTTTGAACTAAGACAGAATGTCCATTTTTTTGGCACCTTCATGTACCTAATAATAGCAATTCTCTAGAACCCTTTCGACAAGACATGCAAGATCTGTTGTCGAAAAGTTTTGCTAAGAACAGTTTTTTCTTTCAAATTTTTCAAAAATAATTTAGTCTATCTGTACATTTTTTAATTATTTAATATTTCAAAGAGAGTAATTCTTATACACGCAGGAATTCAACTTAATAAAAATAATCGATATCAGCCCGTGAAAAAGAAAAGATAATCTCGGCCTTATCCAAGTTCCCCTGTGATTACATAGTGTAGGGATTACATGGTAAAGTGATTACATAATACATTTATATTTCTTTAAATTTGTGAATAAACAAATTGTACAGTGTCAGTGTTAAAAGTTTAAAAAAGGCATGTTTAAATTAAAAAAGAAGAAATACATGAAATAACATGAAATAGACAGAGATTGTGTAACTGTAATTACGTTACATAAAATAATATATATCTTATTACATCTTTACAATCATTCTTTACAATTTTTGCAGTCTGACATCCAATTAACTGTAAATAATAAATTTCAATAGGATCTAAAGACACTGGCATAAAGATAGCAAATCATTTACAATGTTAGAGTTCTATTGTCAAAAATAAGTGTTTTTATAAAGCTTATTTTCTCTTTTTTAATCTCATTGTGTCAGTGTAGATATATCATCGAAAAGGAATAATTGTCCGTGATTTTTTTCACATCTTCATGATCTTTGGAACCGCATATTTCATATGTATTTACAAAAAATAATAAATACTACGACACGAGTAGATAAGGTTAATGCACTCACAGCAGAGTATAATGTTAAATATCAACAAATTGTAAGTAATAGTGTGGCAACTAGTGCGTTTCACATGCTTAGATTTTGGAGGTGAGAAAATGTTGAAATTACAGTTTAATTTAGGCCAGTTTATTATGACATGGCTGCAGCTCTATCCAATGCAAAGGGTTGATTACGAGAGTAACAGCGGGGATTCACAGCGGAAATGAAAATGGTTAAATGATGAGAAGCCATTAGACTATCACAATTTTCTCTCACAACAACCTAATTCATTTATCTTGAAAACGATGGATTTGTTTTTAAGTTCTGTGTTAAAACGGCTTATTTTTCCGTTTCCCGTTTCATATCCTACATATAAAAGATTTGTGTGTATGGCAGTTTTGAAATTGGCGGCATGGGATATTTGCATTCTGCCTAGTGGTTCATCTACTTCAAAGTCACAGGGAACACGAAACAAGTTAGAGAAAGAAATCAAAGTTACACTGCCCCACATTTTGTGAACACAATTATTTCAGGAGTGGTTTAAGTGACGACTGGGTATAAAAGTGACTCTTTTCTGATGAATGGAGAAATAAGGAAACTAAGACCAAACATTGAAGAATAAAGGTAAATTTGCAATTATATAATTATGTGTATGTTACGATAAAGTGTAATTAAGGTAGTGTCTTCAGATGAATTCTACCCTTAACTACAGTTCATGAGGATTTCGATCCTTGGTCAAGGTGGTTGCTTTCTTTATTGTGTGAAATGCTCAACACTTTAGCTATCATTTTATTTGGAGTAAAACTACCCGCATGCATGTACATGTCATCATTAACCTCTCTGAACCTTTTAAAAATAATGGCGGTAGTAATACGTGTTTTAATTGCATATGTCCTGTCTGAACTCATCTGAATGCAAAATCGTGTTTCATGCAATAGTTTATGTATATGATCTGGATTTATATGATAAAGGGACATCATTCTCAAATAAAATCTATCTTGTCTTAGTTTGTCTAAATGTGTGTGTAGACTGAGGGTATATGTACGCGTTCTTTAGATGAATGAAATTTTCATACGGAAAACCTACGGAAAAACTATTTTTCGATTTTACAAAAATTGTGCAAGCAACACTACTCGACTGTGGTGCACATTATGTAATCCGGCATGCCTGAAGAAATAAATGCCTATGAGTTTTGAAAAATTGAAAGTTTGAAAACAATTATATGAGATGATTTACGAGTTTAAAAATTTTATCAATAGGTCAACTATGGATTTGTTCAAAATATGGCGGCCATATTTCCTTTGGACATGTTGGGAATGCATTCAGCAGGTGTTCAATGGCATAAGCCATAAGGAAGGCATAGATGTATCGCTTCGGTCAAAGAAAGTACATGTAAATGTGATAGATGTGTTTGAAATCAAACTGTTCGACAATAATCAAGAGAGGGACTTGCCTCCTTCTCCTTTTTTCTTCGCGGATATAGACTGGACAATACAGTTTTCAACGTACTTTGAGATATTGTTTGCGACTTCACCATGCTACTGCATGCGCACTGAGCCCCCTCCCCTCGTTGAATACGCCTTGAAATCAGTCAAAAAAACTGTATGTGTTTGTATAGATTATTTGTTGTTTATTTATAGATTAAATAATAATGTATTTCATCATTAGTATATTAAGATAAAAATGTCCCTTGAAAGTCTTTTTTTGAATAAGATGTAAAATGTATGTTTTTTTCCTGTAAAAAGTTTTTTTAGAGGAAATTAACCCTCTGATATTCTGCTGTTTTCTATATATAATGTTTATTTTCTATCTGCGCATAATGAATGTAAAATCTAGTATGCTAATGATGGTTGCTTTGGCTTTGAAATACTGAATGTACAATGCACCAATGTGAGTTTAGAGAGGAAATTTACTCTGTAAATTTTTGCTATTTTCAAATTGTAATTGTTGTAATGAATACTATATCAGTGATATTCTTTGGGAGGAAATTTACTCCGTAAAATATTGTTATACCAAGGATAGTCGCTTTTGAATTGACTACTGTATGCTAACTGTATCAGTGTCATTTTTGAGAGGAAATTTACCCTGTATATTTTTGCCTTTTTCAAATTGTAATGTGGTAGTGAACATTATATCAGTGATAGTCTTTGGGAGGAAATTTACTCCGTAAAATCAAGCTGCATAAACGATGGTTTCTTTGGCTTTGAAATACTGAATGTACAATGCACCGACGTGAATTTAGAGAGGAAATTTACTCTCTGGATTTCTGTTAATAACAAACTGTAATGTAAGTAGTGAACACTCAATCAGTGAAATTCTTGGGAGGAAATTTACTCCGTAAAGTCTTGATGTATAAAGGATAATCGCATCTGAATTGACTACTGTATGTTTACTGTATGACTGTCATTTTGAGAGGAAATTTTTTCTCTAGATTATTGCTATTTCCAAATTTTAATGTAGTTGTGTACACTATATCAATTATATTCTTTGGGAGGAAATTTACTCTGTTAAATCTAGTTGTGTAAACGATGTTTCTTTGACTTTCAAATACTGAATGTACAACGCACCGACGTGAATTTAGAGAAGAAGTTTACTCTGTAGATTTTTGTTATAAACAAACTATAATGATAGTAGTGAACACTGTATCAGTGATATTCTTTGGGAGGAAATTTACTCCGGAACATCTAGCTATGTTAACGATAGTTGATTTGGCATTGAAATACTGAATGTACAATACACCGACGTGAATTTAGAGAAGAAATTTACTCTCTAGATTTTTGTTATTAACAAACTGTAATGTAAGTAGTGAACACTGTATCAGTGAAATTCTTTGGGAGGAAATTTACTCCGTTAAGTCTTGTTTTATAATTGATTGTCGCTTTTGAATTGACTACTGTATGTTTACTGTATGAATGTCTTTTTGAGAGGAAATTTCCTCTCTAGATTTTTGCTATTTTCAAATTGTAATGTATTTGTGTACACCATATGAGTGATAGTCTTTGGGAGAAAATTTACTCCGTAAAATCCAGCTGTGTAAACGATGGTTGATTTGAAATACTGAATGTACAATGCAGCGACGTGCATTTTGAGAGGAAATTTACTCCGTAGAATTTTTTTTCTATTTTGAAATGTAGTGGTAAACAATGTATCAGTGTTATTCTTTGGGAGGAAATTTACTCCTTAAAGTGTAGCTATGTAAACGATGGTTTCTTTAGCTTTGAAATACTGAATGTACAATGCACCGACATGAATTTAGAGAGGAAATTTACTCTGTAGATTTTTGTTAGTACTAATTTGCAATGTTAGTAGTGAACACTGTATCAGTGAAATTCTTTGGGAGGAAATTTACTCCGTAAAATCTAGCTGTGTAAACGATGGTTGATTTGGCATTGAAATACTGAATGTACAATACACCGACGTGAATTTAGAGAGGAAATTTACTCTGTAGATTCTTGTTTATAACAAACTGTAATGAAAGTAGTGAACACTGTATCAGTGAAAATCTTTGGGAGGAAATTTACTCCGTAAAATCTAGCAATGTAAACGATGGTTGATTTGGCATTCTCTAGATTTTTGCCTTTTTCAAATTGTAATGTAGTTGTGTAAACTATATCAGTGATATTCTTTGGGAGGAAATTTACTCCGTAAAACCTTGTTTAATCATGGATAGTCGCTTTTGAATTGACTACTGAATGTTAACTGTATCAGTGCCATTTTTGAGAGGAAATTTACCCTGTAGATTTTTGTCTTTTTCAATTGCAATGTGGTAGTGAAAACTGATTCAGTGATAGTTTTGGGGAGGAAATTTACTCCGTAAAACTAGCTATGTAAACGATGACTTGCGTTCTTTAAACTTTTAGTATTTGCACTAATAAATATCTTGTAAACTGTATTATTTGTTGAGTTTTGTCAATTCCTAAGGGCAAAATGCTTAAAACAGAAAAAAAGATTTTCTGTTTTGATTTTGGAATGCATTTACAGTATCTAAAATTTTGTGAAATACCAACATAGGTAAACGGTACATAAAAATCTATTGAATGTTTATCATATTTGTATAAAGATAATGCGAATGATTATTCCGAATGTCAGCTGACATTAAGGAACATGTGGTTAAATGAGTATCATCCTCTTTTAGCATTAGAGCATTGTTTAGAAGACATTTAGGCCTATTTTGATTCAATTTATTTCGTTTTCTTATTTTTCATTAACTTAAATGGGATAGCTACAGATTTGAGGTTAATATTTTGTTAAATATTCTGTATATTGTATAATATTATCACTTCTATTTTGCTAGAGCATTTCACAGGGAAATGTAATATAAAACTTATTTTATCTTGAAATGAAATGAAACTACAGATTTTGGTGTGCGTTTGATTGACGCATTTAAGCATTTTCAGAATTTTTTTTAGGAATTATAATTATAATTAAAATTATAGTCCAGAGTATAAAAAATAGAGAGGTGAGAAAGCAAAACAAACTCAGCAGCATTTTCAGTTCGTGGTCAGTGATATGTGCAGAGTATAACAAATTGATCACACTCATTAAACGTGCATACTGTTTTTGTAAACGGGGAACGAGCTCGCTTTGCTATTGTTGATGTTGAACTAAACTGTCCCTTTAACTAATATGAAGGACAATTTTTTATCTTTTTTTAGATTCAATTGAACCGAAACCAATAGATGGTAACTGTTTAGCTCTCAATTGCGACCGAGAAACAACGTTTGAATACTATCCATGTGATAAACAATTTCAATGTATGTGTAGCAATGGAGGTAAAGATTAATTTTTTTCATTAAATTAATGAAATAGTTTAAGATGTTTTTTTTTTGTTTAATTTTTTTTTTGCCATATGCACGCAAATCAAATTTTAATGAAGATCAATTTTCCTTTTTTCATATCCTCGAATGATAAATATATCAAACTTAGAACTACATTCAGTCTTGCATAAAATTAACAAATTAGAAAATCGGGTACCAATGTATTCTTTGTGTCTCAAATATAATCCATGATTAAAACATTAACTTTTAACTCTTAAACGCCATTGTACAAAAAAGATCTTTTTTGTTGATTAATTTTTAATTTTGAGCTAAAAAGAAAATTAATTTTCAAGATTTGTTTACTAGTATTAGGCTACTAAAAAAAGAAATAAATTAAAATTGACAGAATCATTACCTCAATTAATTCAAGAGTCCTCAGAAATTCTGATCACTCCGGTCATATGGTTGACAAAGAGGTATTAAGAAAATAAGCAGCATCCATGAACAAGAGGCCCATGGGCCAGATTGCTAACCTAAGAAGCTTTGATCAAGCTGTTATTAACCAGATTTCCCCCTTTTAATACCTATTGTGACAGAACCTACCACATGGGTCATTATTTGTACAATTTAAAATCTAAACTATCCCACGATGCCTCTACATAACTTTCAGCTTTTCTGGTCCAGTGGTTCTTGAGAAGATTTTTAAATTTTTTTTATAATATATATTTCTATGTAAAACATTGATTCCCTATTGTGTCCCC